TATTTTCAAACAAACAACTCGGAAAGGGAATTTACATGAAATTATTAATGTTAACGGAATTAGTGTAGTAGTCTTCATCGTATTCAGAAATCTGTCAGGAGTATGATTTTCGCAAATCGAAGCAGCATAAAAATGGTTAGACGAAAAAATGTTTAAAATTATGAGACCAAAGGGAGACAAATAATTGCAATGATTGCATAAACCAAGAATTAAACTGAAGAATGTAAGACGTAAATCTGGTAGGCATTTCAGGAAAAAGGGTAAAGGAACATCTGAAAGACATTACTCAAAGTGACACAAATAGTAATAAATTATTAGAGATATTTATAGAAACATAAATTAATATAAGAGGGGCTCCAATATAAAACTAATTTTATAACATTTGATCTGCTCGCCGATTCATGCAATATTTTGAGTAGGTGGAAGGAGTACTTCTTTCAGCTATTTGTGCATGTGGTTGACGGTGTTACACATACGGAAATACACGCAGCTAATCCAGTAGTTCATGAGCTTAGATCTCTGAGAGTGAGTTTGCGACTGAAGAGCTGAGAATTTATGAATCGCCGGGTACTGATCAAATCCCAGCAAAACTAATCAAAGCATGAGGTGAAACATTAGGCTCTAAGATCCATAAAAAGTAAAAAAAGTAAAGCTATCCCGTTAACAGGCCGGGAAGGCCCATAGGGTTGTGAGACGTTAAGGGTCCCACATTATCTAGACAATCGGCTCGTAGATGGCGGTAAGGTTGTCAGCCTTACGCTCCAGCCTCTCTTTACTCCTCAGGAAAAATATTTAATTAATTCATGGTACTCATTTCTAAGATCCATACGCACATAAATTCTATTTGGAACAAGAAGTGTTGTGAAGAACTAACCGCTTATTTCCCTTTACAAGACACTGACAGGATAGAATACGACGCATTCAACAATTCTTCTGTTGTTGCACATGTATTCGCTGCCGCGGCAAGTTTTTATCGAGCCGTTGCCTAGAAACTGTAGGGGAATACATATATACATACAGAGACTGATGGGAAGGATTTATGAATTACTCTATTGAAGCTGGCTCCGGTGCCGTAATGTACATAACTAATTAATGTTCTTATGTTGGTTATTTAATGATGCTGTCAGCATGGAGACAACAGATCTATAAGTCAGATGATGGAGCCGCTGGTAGACTCGGAATTTTCAGAGGAAATCGAAGCAAACCAGCCCAAGTTCAGCCGTGGCGACCATAACTTCCATATGACTTGAGTTGGGATCAAACCGCAGCCGCTGTAGTAGGAATTCAGCTAATTAAATTTTGATTCCTATGCTCTCGTAACAGCTCAGTTACTGATTATGCTATCAGATGCTGCAGAAAAACTTGCAGTAAAATGCGACAGTACGTCATTTATTTTTATTATTTAAAGAAAGCTTGTGGTATAGTTTGGTGGGAAGTGTTATACTACATTTTGATTGCGTTTGGTGTACCCATGAAACTAGTTGGGCTAGTTATACTGTGTTTGTAGGGAACCTATATAAAGAAACTATACCTTTATGTTATTTGCCTCCTGTTGTGTGTCTTTCCCCCCCCCCCTTGGCACTACAGCCCCAGTGGGCCTAGGCATACCTCCATGAACTTCTCCGTTCACTTCGGTTTTTCTAGATCTTACACATTCAGTAGGACTCCTTGGGCGGGTGATCAGCTCGTCGCAAGGCCTCTACCTGTACACAAACACAGAAAAACACACACAAGCTAAATATCCATGCCCTGAGTGGGATTCGGACCCACGATCCCGGTTTCCAAGCGAGCGAAGACAGTACATGCCTTGTTGTGTATCTTACCAAAGGTATTTATATGGAACCGTGAACACTACAATTGATTGACTATAAAACCGACATTAAGGTGCCAATACTCAACATTTTATTTTTTTCTATATTCCACTACGTCCATGTTAGGTGGGTCCCTGTCACCACAGCATGGCGCGTCCTCAGGTTGCGGATGGAGGAGACGCCCTCCAGTGTTGGAAGGAAGCTGTGAATATATTGAATAAACAGTCGCGGACAGCCGACAAGGGGTGGCCCTCAAGCTTGGGGGTTGGGCGTGGGCTACAACTCCTCACCGTAAAAAATACTTTGTTACGAAAATGAACACAAAGCCTCGGACCTCGACGGTTTCCTTGGATAAACGACCTAAGCTATAGAAAATGGATATGAGATTTGGCACTTGGAATGTTGGAAGTTTGTATATGGCAGGTTCGCTTAGGGCAGAGGCAGAAGAAATCTTTAAATATAAGTTAGATTTAGCGGGAGTACAGGAGGTCAGAAGGGATGGAGGTGGCATCGCACCAGCAGGAGACTATGCATTTTTCTATGGAAAAAGGAATGAAAATCATTAATTAGGTACAGGTTTTTTCGTACATAATAGAATCGTATCAGCAGTTAAGAGGGCAGTGTTCGTTAGTGATAAGACATCATATATTATACTAAAAGGTCGCTGGTGTGATATCATTGTTATGGATGCTCACGCCCCAACAGAAGATAAAATTAATGACATAAAGGATAGATTCTATGAAGAACTAAAACATGTATTTGATAAAATCCCAAAGTACCCTATGAAAATTTTGTTAGGAGATTTCAATGCCAAAGTAGGGAGGAAGACATTTTCAAACCAACAATTGGGAATGAGACTTTGCATGAAATTAGTAATGATAATGGAGTTAGAGTAGTAAACTTTGCCACATCAAAAAATCTTACTGTCAAAAGTTTAAACCAGGTGGGGCTTAAATTAAACGGGACACATCAGCAGTTGACCTACGCCGATGATGTGAATCTACCGGGTGATAATGTAGATACCATAAAGAAAAACACACAAACTTTAACTGAAGCAAGTAAAGAGGTTGGTCTAGAAGTAAACACAGAGAAAACTAAGTATATGTTACTGTCTCGTCACCAAAATGCAGGGCAAAATCTTGACATAAAGATAGGAAACAGATGTTTTGAAAATGTGGCACAGTTCAGATATTTGGGAACAACGATAACAGATCGAAACCTGATTCAGGAGGAAATTAAGAGGAGATTGAACTCGGGTAATACTCGTTACCATTCAGTCTAGAACCTTTTGTCTTCTCGTCTGCTGTCCAAAAACATAAAAATTAGAATATAAAACTATAATTTTGCCTGTGGTTCTGTATGGGTGTGAAACTTGGTCTCTGACATTAAGGGAGGAACACAGACTGAGGGTGTTCGAGAACAGGGTGCTGAGGAGAATATTTAGACCAAAGAGAGATGAAATCACAGGAGGTTGGAGAAAACTGCATAATGAGGAGCTTCATAACTTGTACTCTTCGCCAAATATAATTAGAATGATCAAGTCAAGGAGGATGAGGTGGGCAGGTCATGTAGCACGAATGGGGGAGAGGAAGAATGCGTATAGGATATTGGTCGGAAAGCCAGAAGGAAAGAGACCACAGGGAATACCAAGGCGTAGGTGGGTGGACAATATTAGAATGGATCTTAGAGAGATATAATGGGATGGTATGGATTGGATAGATTTGGCTCAGGAGAGGGGCCAATGGAGGGCTCTTGTGAACACGGTGCTGAAGCTTCGGGTTCCATAAAATGCTGGGAAATTCTTGAGCAGCTGCTGAATTGGCGACTCCTCCAGAAGGGCTCAGCTTCATGAGTAAGTAAGTAAGTAAATTCCACTACGTGTTTCGGTCTACAGAGAAAATCATGAGGTCTTTGAAGTCATATCCGTCACCATTTTAACTGACAATGCAACAACGATGGATATGTGTTCAGAAACCATCTGATGATGATCTCTGCAGATCGGAACTGCGGGATATAGAAATTTAAATGAGTAACAACACCGTAAAATCGGTTACACAGTCAATCGTGTGTTGAAGGCTGCATAAAAATGCTCTGAAAAAGGGAAACATTATATATGGAGGGTGTCTGAGAACAGGGCGCAGAGGAGAATATTTGGATCGAAGAGAGATGAAGTGACAGGAGAATTGAGAAAACTGCACAATGAGGAGCTTCATAACTTGTACTTTTCGCTAAGTACAGTTAGAAAGATCAAGTCGGGGAGGATGAGATGGTCAGGGCATGTAACACGAATGGGGGAGAAGAGGAATGCATATAGGATATTGGTGGGAAGGCCAGAAGAAAAGAGACTACTGGAAAGACAAAGGCGTAGGTGGGTGGATAATCTTAAAATTGATCTTAAAGAGATAAGATGGGATGGTACAGATTGGATTTGTCTGGCTCAGGATAGGTACCAGTGGAGGGCTCTTGTGAGCACGGTAATGAACCTTCGAGTTCCATAAAGTGCTGGGAAATTCTCGAGTAGCTGTAGATTTGGCAGCTCCTCAAGGAGGGCTCAGCTCCATAAGTGAGTTTATTTTATTGCTAGTGGGGTGGGACTAAATCCCTTGTACTGCGGCCACTTCTGGCCTATTGTTCGTAAGTAAGTAAGTATACCCCTTCAAAACTGACTTGTCCGTAATGACACTGACACATCACACACGTCACATTCAAACCCATTGCCAGTGAGGGCTTGTTGCCAGACAGTTAACTGTATGCAACAAGAGACTGATGTTTCAGGATTTATTTTTGCATTAGTAAAACACAACAGTAAAGACCACAGTGGCGTGTTTAGCGTTCTTATTTCGTATTTACGAGATATCAGGTCCGGAAACCGTATATTCTCTTGGTTTGCCTTTCTTGGCTAGTTTTGTTACCAGGGATTTTTTATCTTAGAAACAACTTCGTCGGTATATTAATATGCCCGCTATTTTTATACCTTTTGCTTTGAACTGAGTTACATAAAGTTGCATTTTTACCTCAGACCTCACATCTCATTCAGTGTTACTGGCGTTTGAGACTTTGTCTCTGCAAAATTAAAATGATGTTTCGGGCTTTGCCTCTACAGCAGGAAAGAGATTTTTCAGGCTTTGGCTTTCTGGTATGAAACCAGTCATCGGGCTATGGTTCTGCAGTATGAAATTCGTGTTTCAGGCTATGGCTGTGCCCCCTTCGGGGCCCCAGAAGACGTTCCTGAACACTTGCCTCAAGCTGTGCAGACGTGCAGCTGGTGCCTCGACTATGCTGCCATCTCTCGTGGTGTCCGCACTCTTCATTCTACTAACACTCGTACTGGCAAACGGAGCCCGCCGCCTGCTGGACCGTCTTGTTAAGGATTCGTTCATGCGGCTGCTGCTGCAGGAGGCTATTGCTGCTTTCGAGCTGTGCGCCTGCTGTTTCGAGCTCATCATAGGTATAACAATATCTCGGCGATTTCGGCACCTCAGGTGCTGCATATGCAATTGTCGTTCTTGATTCAGGAATGAAGTCTCGTCAGACACGAGTTATTTCGAGCATGTATTATTGTACAGGAAATTAACGTTTAACGTTAATCATCTTGGCAAATATACACATATTCGTGCATTTTGGCATTTAAACGTAGCTAGCAGAAGCACATGCACAAATCCAAATCATTATATTTATAAGTATAGTGAAATTCAATGTGCATACCTTTTTTGTATATACCTGTAGGCTTTACCCCGCCGTCATCTAATTGAACCGCGCCTTAGTATTCATTCTACTCCTCGAAGCACCCGAGAATGCACGGTCCCACTTCACTTCAGCTGCCTTTCAGTTTCGCCATCTTCCAAACGATGTTTCATTGCCATTGTACGATGGACTGAAACTACGACATTCGAATTCACTATGAACTCACAGAAAATTGAATGCACTCTGTATCTCAGCTACGATGCAAGCGTTTAGTTGCGACCATAGAAAGGGCAATACCGTATTTACGCATGTATAGGCCGCACATTTTTTGCCAAAAATTCAAGAGGAAAACTGGGGTGCGGCTTATATTCGAAATATTCGAAATCACACTTCATTTAAAAAAATATATATATTCATAATTAGTAATACAGGATGTAATACTCCTGAAATAATATTCCAAGAAAATTATGTTTTCTATAATTTCTGTCTAAAAATTGTGCTGCGGCCTATACATGCGTAAATACGGCATTTTCTTGCAGCCGCAAGTGCCGCTTGGCACTGATGTACGAAAAAGGGATTTGTTGAATTCCCATGCTTTCACTTTTCTATCCCTCTAGTAACAAAGTCGAATATCTGATGAGCATAGCAAAAATGTTAATCTTAGGAACAGAATAACAAAATATTGTGTTTAGTGGTTCCACATCTTTTACGACACTACAGATAGCGGAAGTGTGTCAAGTATTACAGTGTTTCATGACACTACAGACAGCGGAAGTGTGACAAATATTACAAGTAGGAATGATTTTATAACGCAGAAATACTTTGTGAAGAAGCGGGAAACTCTTTTATACAGTACACATCAAAATAACACAAAAAAGTATAACTTCTTTGGATAAACATTTTAAAATCTTACGTTATAATATGTTATATTATGTTGCCTGCTGATAAAAACAAGGTCAATACCATTCCATTAACATAAAAATTATATTAGATACAGCATTTTAAATAATATGCTTAAAATTACTTAAAATGCCCGACAGCAGGGGCATTTAAATAAACTCCGTCGAGCTCACTCTACAACCATTTAAAAAGTCCTGCATTATAAGGTTAAGAACATATATATATTTATGTTTCCTCAACAAACCAATAGTTCTACCTGTTGTTTTGTATGAACCTCAAATGTGCTTTCTCACATCAAGGGAAGAACACAGACTGTGGGAGTCTGAGAATATTTGGACCTATACGGTTGGAAGTGATGGGAGACTGGGAAAAATTGTGTGATGAGAAGCTCTATAATTTGTGCTCTTCACAGAATATTATTAGGATGATTGCATCACAGAGGATGAGATGGGTGGGAGTAAGTAGAAAAATATATACAGCATTTTGGTGAGAAAACTGAAGGAAAGAGCCACTTTTAAGAACCATGCTTAGGAGAAAGATAATACTAATAGTTCCTAAAGGCACAGTAAGGAAAAGTGTGGAACTGCTTAATATGGCTTAGGATAGAGACCACTGGTGAGATCTTGTGAATGCAGCTATGAAACTTCAGGCTTCATAAAATGCTGGCCATTTCTTGACTAGCTGAGTAACCACTAGCTTTTAAAAAAGGATTATGCTCTGCAGAGTGAGAGTAGTTTTCATACCCATTATGGCATGCTGTAGGCAGGAAATAACTTACACCAGTTACCTGCTTTTTGAAGTTTTCATAAAATGTAATGTGGTGGGGGGTGGGGAAGAAACCAGTAAGAGGTAAGGAAATCCATGCTGTATGCTATACTCAAAACTCTAAACTGACCTTGTAACATTACCCCATATAATTATATTTGAGATGGGACAAGTACAAGCCATTTTTAAAGAATGCTTTCTTATCAGATGTGATGTTGTGAAGTCTGGTAGAAGCATAGCATACCCTTCAACCGTGAAGAAGGATACACAATGAAGAAAGCAGTCTTCTGGGATTTGGCACCGTGTATATGTGGTGTTAACCGACGTTTCGGAGGAACGTATCGCCCCCATATTCAGGGTAGAAGAAAAAGTATAAGAAATCTGCAAGCGACAACACCGTGAGAAACGGTAAAGCAGACTGCTTTCTTCATAGTCACCGCCGTGAAAGCCTCAAATCTTACAAGGATACACAATGTTTCATCCAAAACACAGATTAACTTCTACAAGACTACATACCATTACATTCAAGTAGAAAGCATTCTTCATAGCCACCTCTCTAAGAACCTCAGAACTCACATCATTTTTAAATATATTGTTGAGTTATTGAGAACAATGACTTAGAAAGCCTATGGGCTGTACAGGCCCTGTTGAAATCTTGATACAGCAGTTGATACTTCTCTCCTCACCATCACATCCAGGATGACTGTATCCCCACCCAGTCTCCAGCCCAATAGAAATATGGGGCTGGTTCCCAGTCACAAAGAAACTTCTCTCACTTCTACTACAGATGTTACTGATTTATTCTCCCACCTGCAGCAACTTGGTCTCAAGATGTATCGCCTTCTAAATTTTGGAATCCTGTAGAGCAGTGTTTATTGATCTGTGGGCAATGTAGTTTTCTGCCTCTTCACAATTAGTTACTGTTTTCTTACCATACACACAGACACAACTTTCCCATACTTCTATACAGGGCTGCCTCATGCCTAATTGTTGCTCGACACAATGAAGTCTTTCCCCTCCCTCACAACTGAAAACAGAGTTAAAAGCAAATCAACTTTCTCAGTTATTTTGTCACAGTTAATTACAAAATTTTGAGATGTGATGAAAACTGGCCATGGTGTCCTAACTCTTTAAACAAGAGTCAGAGGCCAGTAATAAAAGTATGGCATCATCCTGACACAGCAATTGCATTGTTACTGCCAAGTTCAGATTATAGAATTTAACAACTTGCAGTTCATACTTAATTTACATTCATATTTACTGTTTCATCATGTATCACAATATAAACAAAAGAGCAGCAAAAATTAATTTCCATTTAGGGAAAGCCAGAAGAAATATATGCTACCTGAAAGTCATGCCAACCCAGGTGACCACCTGGTTTGCCTCTGTTGTCATGCCTGCTCTGCTTGTAGAGCTGAGTAGCTTGTGCTGAATATTACTACTGTTTAACACAGACCTTACTGGGCAAGTCTCTCATTAATCAGTTTCCTTTCTGTCAGTTATTAACAAGTTACTATATTGCTACCTCTAACATGCTCTGCAGGCTAGCATTCTCTCCAGCACTGATATAAGAGCTGTTGCACTGTAACTAAACTGTCAGCGTCTTCTCAGCAAAAACAGGGTTATCACAGGAAGACAAAATCAGTATTTAAGTAGGATAAGTTGTAACATTTTGTGTGAAGGGTAAATTTTCCATATGAAAGAGAGGCACTGCACGTAACTGCCACTAGTACATTTCAACTATTCATTGAACTGTACTTCAAGTACCTAGCAACACTGCATGAAGCAACACTGTATAGAGATTCCTGTGAAAATGAACTGATGTTGTGAAACTTTCAGTTACCATAACTAAAGATGTCTTCTCAGGTCATCAGCCATATAAAGACTGAATGAGTATCCAACATTTCAGACTGAACCTGTATCCACAACCAGAGGTTGATAATGGAGGGCGTCTCCAAAATGCTGGACACTAACTCCATCGTCCTATGGCTGCTTGCCTGAGAAGACTTTATTGCAACTGATACAACTCCATCATTTAAAGTCAGTATGTATAACAATTTCAGTGGCTGACAATTTTGGTGTGTCAGCATATGGTATATTTCTGTTCCTGCTGACAATCTGGTGGGCATTCAACTGGGGGGATGCCACGGCCTGTCCATACACCCACATTGAAGATGTGGTCCTCGGGAATACAGACATACGTACTGCAGTACTCATATCAGCATTCGAGCTGGCAGGAGGCATGATCAGTTTCAAGTGAGTCTACAACACATGTGTATCTTGTGTAGCTATGAACTACATATTTCACTGAAAGATACTTCCTACAAATTGGATTTTTATAAATTTTGTTTTGATAACAATTACTAAATTTTTGCATGCACTTAATGATCAAAATGAATTTTCATAAATATTCATAATAATGAAAAATTTATAACTGCAAATGTATAGTTGTCTCTTCACAAGCATCTCAGGTGTTTGTGATAATGTTCCTTGCCAAAATAAAAATGGACTCTTAGTTTCTAGTAATAATTTCAAGCACAGCAAGAATGTACTTCTACAATTGGGTGTTAACCAAAACCAGCACTGTGCTTTTCTAACACTGCATTGCACAAAAGCAAACTCAACACACCACTCCCACCACAGCACAGCATATTCTGAGAGACTTCACAGTTTTCCAAGAGTTATGAATCCTGGTGGTTCATCACCATCACATCCTACCTCTTCACCCTATCTTGAAGCAGTGCAGTCAACATCACCCACACATCCCCACAAATTACTTCTTAAATAAATATTTTAATATCATTTCTCTGAGCTAAGCCTCAATCTTGTGAATGGTCTCTTCACAAGATACATACTGTCTTCTGGGACATGACACAGCATAGTCTGGTATGTGGTTACCTATGTTTTGAAGCACCATGCTGCCTCCATCTTTTATGCTAAGATGGAGCATTAGGTTCCTCCAAACATCGGTAACAATCCACCAGATAACATGGCATCAGGTCGTAGAAGAGGTTTCTAACTAAAATGTTCAAGTACAAAATATATATTCAGGTACAATGTTTCTATTGTGTATAATCAAATAAGACATTTTATTTTACTTAACTATGACAGGGACACCTACTCAAAGCTTCCACTTGTGTTGCAGATATGTACAGCTTTTGTGGAGTCTGGAAATATCTGAAACACATCGTGACCGGGCATTTGGCGAATGTTTTACAGATTTACAGGTAAAGTACCATGGCTCCAGACATCAGGTAAGTGTACATGAAGATTGCTGCCTTCTGGGTTGTGATGTCATATAGTCTGGTAAGAAGGTGCCTGCATATTGGAGGAACTTCCTGAGTACATAGCATCACATCCCTGAAGACAGATATAAATATCTGCTGCCGTACGAACTCCAGTCTCACATCAGATACACACCCTATCAGTGAAATAAAATATTCCACACTCTTACTCTCCTACTTCTTTATTCCTTGGAGATATTATAACTGAACTGGGCATTAAGTAGAGGGGAATTTGCAAATACAACTTCTATTTTATTATTGAGAAAACAGCCCTTGGAGCTGTTCCAAACTCGATAAGGGATACAAAGTTTTCAATACCTCCACAGTGAATTAGACTATGGCCATGCAGGATGAGCTTTGAAATCATTCCTTAAAGCAGTAACTATTTACATTTACTGCTGTACTACAGAATCTGTTACAATAACATCAATTGTGAACACTTTCATTCTGCAAAAACAAGAGCAGTGACTGAAGCTGGCATAGCTTTCGCAACACTCCATAACAGAATAATAACATGAAGATGTTTCTAGTATTTTTTGTTATGCGAATAGTTATTTTAATATCTGTGTTAATTCTGTATTGAAATAACATATTTGGAATAAAACACTGAAGAATGTTGAGGTATTTTGTCCCATAATTTTTGTGATCTTTAGTTCAGTGGTTGAGTTGTTGCTTTATGCTGTAAGCACTATAATTTATTGAATGACATATATATTAATGCTCTTCTGAATAAATGGTTGAACTGATTGATGAAATAATATTTTATAAGCATCTGGGTAGTCTGAATTTTGTTGCCAATTAGCAATAAATTACTGAGCAACATGTACAGGTAATGTTCCCAGTGGTGTTCTGCTCATGTGCTCCCACTGTTGAAAGTCTGATGAATGTGTTATGTGGATGGATAGATGTAGCAGAAAGGAATGAGTTTTCAAATGTATCTGCAGCTTATGCGAGCACAGATGGAAGATATACTGATCTCAGTCTAATGAACAATTTGTGTGTGTCTGTGTCACAGGCCAAAAGGAACCTCAGTTATCGAATGAACCAATTTGTTTCTGTCAGAGACCTAATGGTATGACATCAAATTCGTGAAAAGATGCATCTTAACTGGAATACTCTCTCAGTAGAGTACCGGTATAAAATCAATTTCCTGTATCACCATACACTGACTAGGGATTTGAGCACTAGTGTATATTACAGAAGAGACATGTTCTTGAAAATACCGTCACGTGTAGGATGGTATGCGTGATGAAATGACAGCTTCTAGTTCCGATGATTGAATTTATTAGCACCTTCGTTTCATACTCTCTCTTACTCACATTTAAATTACAGCACTATTATATCACTGATTTACTTACTTACTTATGAAGCTGGGCCCTTCTTGAAGAGAAGCCAAATCTGCAGCTACTTAAGAATTTCCCAGTATTTTATGGAACCCGAAGGTTCATCACTGTGTTCACAAGAGCCCTCCACTGGTCCCTATCCAAAGCCAAATTAATCTAATCCATACCATTCAATCCTATCTCTCTAAGATACATTTTAATATTGTCCACCCACCTATGCCTTGGTCTTCCCAGTGGTCTCTTTCCTTCTGGTTCTCCCACCCATATCATTTAGGCATTCCTTTTCTCCCTCATTCATGCTACATGACCTGCCCACCTCATCCTCCTTGACTTGATCATTCTAATTATGCTTGGAGAAGAGTACAAGTTATGAAGCTCCTCAGTATGAAGTTTTCTCCAACCTCCTGTCACTTCATCCCTCTTCGGTCCCCGTATTCTCCTCAACACCCTGTTCTCACACACCCTCAGTCTATGTTCCTCCCTTAATATCAGAGACCAAGTTTCACACCCATACAGAACCACAGGCAATATTTATCGCTGATTTACACACTTCATAATTCACTGTTGCACGCACACACTAGTCCTCTCCAGGTAATGTATCTCAACACAGAAATTAGAGCTTCAAATCACTCCAAATATTGCACATAATTAAGGTCTTCAAATCACAATTTAAATCTTTACAGGTCTTCTATGAACTTCCTGTTGCTGTCACTCTTACTGTTACTTAAACATACTCAAACATTCTCAAATACTGAAGCACACTAAACTGAACTGCTGGCATTATTCTCATTATACAGCCTTCATGCTGACCATGCACAGAAAACAGCCTATATTGCTGGAACGTGTTTACCAAATGATTGCATAGCAATGGTCATACCACAACTCCATAGAAAGCCAGTCACTTGATACTGTTGAAGTGTGACATCATTGCACCTGCGCAAGTCTCTTTACTGAAACATTGCCTAGAAGCAGGTTGCATAACCTCGTTGTTCCACTGTTGTCAGTGTGTATCATGTCACAAAGTGTCAGTTACCTAGCAATGTCCTGTCCATCCACATAATTCGGTAATTTAAACCATATCTCTTTGACCATTTCCCATTTTAAAAGGAGAAATACATTCCTACAGAAGTTCTTTTGTCTACAGTTCCAATAAGAATATAACTTTTTACCTGAATCAAGTTAATACACTGCACAGTTTATAATAAGATGAGAAGAGCAACATACTACCACTACAGCAGTATGCTACCACATGCAGATGCAATCTGAATTTCACTGAAAGTAATCATACCTTAAAAACACATTTTTCACAATATTTGTGGTTGTGTTACACTGATATTTATTTCAGATTTCCTTAAGGAGAAATTTATGGGCCAGATCATAAATTTCAAGGACATGTTTTGTAGTATTTGTAATGGTGAAATTCAATAAAACATGGCTGTCTGTTATATTGGGATATGCTACATAGTAGCAACCCCTTACTACTGAATTCCACAGACCCGAGCTAATCAGACCAGGCATTTCACTTATCACACTTCCACCAACAATTTCTGCATTGCAGTTCTCAGAGAAGTATACTGGACACTGCTGCCTCACATGAAGTTTCCATATCTTCCCATTATCTTGGTCACAGGATCAGTATTAGTCACCTTCATCCAAAAATCCCCAGAGCAAAATTCTAATCTACACAATTACAAACTGCTTGCTTCTGCAGGTTCCGGTGCTATATGGTGCAGCTATTGAAGGCACTGCCACCTGTTTATGTCGCATAGCTTCCAATGCACTCTCTGAGTTCAAGCCTCGATTCAGTACTGCAATCGATTCTTTCATTTCAACATCACTTGTAGTGGCAGGTGAGAGAGACTCAATTAACTCCCTAGTAGAGACCAGCCATAAACTTATGGCTGATATACAGAAACATAAGTACTTAAAATTTAACTTATTTGAGAAGTATTGCTGTAGGGGTGTCAGGTCGGTTGTGATATAGTATACATACTTTGCAGTTTGGTCACAGCAATATAATCCAAAAACATTTATTGTCATTGTAATGCTTTGTGCTTTAGTTTGTTGTTTAAATTATTTTTGTCTGGTAATTTGTTATGTCAATGGTCTCAAATTACTTCACGCTTCTTCAGAATATATAACAAAATGTTATTCCATATGATCTTGTGTACCCATGTTTTCAGAAGGGAGTAAAAGATTAAAGGCAAGGACATTGCTATCCTTCTGCTTGTTGCTACCAATTGTGAAACCCCATCTCCTCCTCAGGCACGACCTGGTGCAGACATTCGCTATCAGTTCTTGGTCCTACTCTGTAGACCCTTCTCTACCCAGTTGTCATGGAACCTGCAAGTTCATCACCATAAACCCACATTCAGACCCCAAGCCAAGAACTGCTGTCTAGTTTACATTTATGTAGGATTCAATGTAGTGTTCTGATCTCCAGTGATTTCTCTTTATAAGACTGCTCAAAATGTCGCTTCCTAGGTTATGAGTACCTGCCATGCAAGTCTTTAAATGCTACTAACAATACTAGGTGACATTCCTCATCATGTAACTTTCTGCATACTAAACTGTCCTATCCGTATGTTTTTGCATTAGCCTTATTCAGAGCCCAAGTGTCTTAGGCCCTCCAGGACAAATAATTTTCTAATCACAAACAAATTTGAAACTGACACTGAGACACGCAGTGGAACTGTTTGATTATCAGTTATCACCATTATATTGAATGCACATAAATTAAAATCAGAATAGGTCAGAGGGCCTAATTTATGAAAATTGAAGACAATGAAGTGGAAAAATAAATATCTTTTATGAACGCTAAAGGAATTCAACAGCAAAATTTGACAGTTCCCATCTGTAGCCATGGTTTCCAAAGGTAACCTTTCCACTCATATATCTCGTAGTACCTGTGGGCTTTAAAACTACTATTTCACGGAATATGAACGCTATGAACTACAAGATTTCTGGACAGACAGTTTGACACTCATAGAGATACATATATTCAGTAGACATTGACAGGGTAATACTAACTTACAACACTTTGATAACTGAAACACTGCCATTTATTGCTGTCATCTTCTGAGGCTACAGCAATTAATTGGGTTTAGTTTTACATTGATTTCTACAGAAATGGCATAATATAAAAGCGATCAAGTTAATGAAAATGTCCTGCTTTGACTAATTACATATAGACACTGCACATAATTTTCTCTACTAACTGTCTCAGTTGAAAAAATGATTTCAATAGTCTGAAAAAGCTGTATCAACTTCAAGTGGTTCAAACCTCAGCCAGGGCACTGGCTAACCTGATTAAGGTGTTCTGTGATTTTCATCAGTCCCTCCAGGCAAATGCCAGGATAGTACCTCAATTAGGCCATGACTGCTTCCTTCCAAATCCTTTCCAATTCAGTAGTCACCAATCATCCTACCATTCAATGCTATACAACCTGAGATATGGAGAGTGACATAAAATAATCCATAGAAAGAAAATTAAGACATGTTTTCTTGCTGCAGCATTTGACTACTCGGGTGGCTACTTCAACCCAGTCCTGGCCACCTCCCTCAAATATGGCTGCAGAGGTAACACATTGATTGAGCATGTTGTGGTGTACTGGGTGGGAGCCAGCCTTGGAGCTGTTGCATCTGTATTTGTGTATCAACATCCAACAGTCCAGAAGTTGTTGTTTGGACACAAGGAGAAGGAAGAGTAAGAGAACTCGGTTACTCAATACATGAAATATTTCTGTGCAGTTCAGCATGACTGGGCCAAACAAATATACACACTGCCTTATTGAATTATAATTACAGCTGCTTCTCAGGAAACACACAATAAATTAGTCAGTGGTACAACCATGAAGAGTACAAATATTTTGTTGTTCTTGATACCATCCTGTGATACTGTGTACTGACTGTTATGTTTCAAAATTCTGTTAAATAAATCAATCAAACATCAGACTTTTGTTCCATCAACTCCCTGCAGTCCATTATATTTGTGCATCAAATTTTAGTGCCAAATTATATTCCTAACATAAAGTGAGCAGCAATGGAAAGGCGACTGTGAATGATGAGCTGAAGAACAAGAGAACTTAATAGAGCAACTGCTGATGCAATCCCAGGGCCACAGTGCAGCTGGAAAGACCTCACCAGAATCAAACCCATGACCTTCCAGCTTGTAATATAGGGCCTCAACCAACAACATTACCGCATGCCCCTCCCAGAAATTATTATGTGTCTTATTTATGTGCAAACCCTGTTTTTGTATTTGAGTGGAAGCATTAGTGGACAGAAGGCATTATATTAAACTTTCCATCTCTTAAGAGAATCTCCTTGTTTGTGACTAACTTGATACTTACGTGGAAAGGGACTTTGATGCCACATCAAAGATTTAGTTCTTATGGCTGTGGAACTTCAAGTTCACAGCAACTACTCACCATAAAAAACAAGCTTGTTATGAAAGACCACAAGAAGCCTGAATGGATTCCTTAGCTAAATGACCTAAGGGAAAGAAAATGGATATGAGATCTGGTACTTAGAATGTTAGAAGTATGTAGGGCAGGTTCACTCAGGGCAGTGGCAGAAGAAATCTCAAAATACAAGTATTAGATTTAGTGGGAGTACAGGAGGTCAGATGTGGAGGTGGCACTGAATCAGCAGGTGAATATACATATTTCTATGGAAAGAGAACTTTTCAAACAAATGACTGGGAATAAGAGTTTGCATGAAATTAGTAATGATAATGGAGTTAAAGTAGTAAACTATGCCACATCAAAAATTTTACTGTCAAAAGTACAATGTTCCCACATCGTAACATCCATAAATTTACTTGGACATCTCCTGATGGGAAGCACACAATCAATTTGACCATATTTTAATAGATAGGAGATGGCATTCAACTATACTTGATGTGCGATCGTTCAAGGCAGCAGATTGTGATACTGACCACCACCTGGTGGTGGCAAAGGTTAGGGAAAGACTGGCAGTGAGCAAACAAACAACACACAGAGTTCATATGGAGAGGATCAATCTCAAGAATTTAAATGTGGTAGAGGATAAAAATCAGTATCATGCTGAAATTTCAGGTAGGTTCGAGGCTTTGGAAAACTTAGACAGAGGACCCATTTTGCTTAGTGGGGGGTGGAGTCCAACTGGGTCCACTCGGCACGGCGGCCACTAATTGACCTCTTGTAGCCTGCCCCGGATGATTATGATGATGGAGAATTTGGTGGAATCAAGATTGGCAGGGGGAACCGAAGTACTCGGAGAAAACCCGCCCCAGCGCCACTTTGTCAACCACAAATCCCACTTGACCAGACCGGGGATCGAACCCGGGCCGCCACAGTGGGGAGCCAGCAACTAACCACTTGAGCTATGGTGCGGCCCCTATATGACCCATAGTTTCAGCACAGTGTTCACAAGAACTTGCCCACTAGTCCCTATCCTGAGCCACATGAAACCAGTCTTCTAAAATATACTTCAATACTATCCTCCCATCTACATCTAGTTCTTCCCCATGGTCTCTTCTCTTCAGGTTGTCTTGCCAAAACCCTGTACATATGCCTCTCCCATGCAAGCTGCATGAACTATCCATCTCATCCCAATTGACATGCTTATTCTAATAATATTTGGCAAGGAGTACACGTTATGAAGCTCTTCATTATGCAGATCTCTGCAGGCTTCCATTATTTCATCCCTCTTAAGTCCAAATATTCTCATCAGCACCTTGGTTCCAAACATCCATTTCAATATTTTTCCCTATTTATGGCTGTGTCCTCAAACTGGTCTCCTCCATTGAAGATTTTACAGCACAGCTCTGTGCACATTTCTGACAAACCCCAAGAACACCATATGCCTGAAATTTTCTTATAAAAAAAATAATGGGTGGGAAATGAGTTCTTCTCACCTCACCAGTTAAACAGATTAAATACTCTCATGACTCACAGAACAGATTCTTCAGTATAATCTAAAAGGATGTTGAGTCCAAAGCAGTCCTGGAAAAGATGGAATGAGTATGCAAAGTCAAAATGGGCTTGAATACCCATAACATGAAGTGAAGAAAATGACAATCATTATAACTTACCACATTAAAAGTTAAATTACTTCACTAACACTGACTTTGAACCTACACATTGCAAATGAAGACAAGTTACTCCCATTTTTGTCATCCACTGTAAGTTCTGCCTTATAAACTCTCCATAATATTTCGTTTCATGGGTGTGCTAGCTCTCACTAAAGAACATATTAATTGCAAATATAAAATATTTCACAACTGTGAAATCGCAAATAAATAATTCTGGAGCACATATAACACTTACAAGTACACAGGAAGCAACATGTCAGTCAGAGGTGGCAGGATTTATAGAAGTCTTCAGTTCTTACCAAGAATGAAAAGAAACTGGCATACCAAGCTAATGTATTTAAATTGCTTGTTTAGATATCAAGCCATCTTTTCAAGATTTGCTCTGATCCCTTCTGCAGTTCTATTAAATGTTGCTTGTCTCATCATTTGGTTTTTCTGAATTATGGGCATCCTATGCTAACCATATCATTCATTCATTCATTCATTCATTCATTCATCATTAGGAATACAAATTGAGAGGCAACCAGATGCGATACATATCTCTCAAACCACCTATGCAAGCCAAATGCTGAAAAAATACAACATGCAAGAAAGTCGAGAAATGAAAACACCCATGGCCAGGACAACCACCACAAATGACGAAGGACGAAAATGACATAAGATTTCCTTACAGAAAAGCTGTAGGAAGCCTCCTATATATGACTTCTGAAACCAGACCCAGTATGGCATTCGCTGTAAATGTGGAAAGTCGAACCTTGGAAAATCGTGACAAGATAGCTGTTCAGAATGTGAAAAGGACCCTTAGGTATGTGAAAGGTACACAAGATTCAGGAATAAAATATACCTTGTCTGACTCCAAAACTATGAAACTGGAAGCATTTAGTGATGGTGATTATGCAGGGGATGCAAAGGATAGGAAGAGTTTAACGGGATATGTAATTATGATGTCAGGGGGCCCAATATCATGGTGCTCTAGGAAACAGAGTATTGTTGCATTATCAACCACTGAGGCCAAACATATTGCAGCAGCTGAGTGCTGTAAAGAACTGAAATATCTAAAGACGTTGATAGAGGAGTTGACAGGAAAAAGGGCGGAAGCTGAACTGTGTGTCGACAATCAGTGCAATCAAGCTAACAGAATCTGGACAAGTAACGCGTAGGAGTAAGCACATAGATGTTAGGTATCACTAGATAAGTGAACAATTGTACAAATACAATCAGAAATTAAAGGTATTTTAAATGACAAATCACTCGCTGTATGGATAATTACACCTGCACACATAAAAAAGAGAACCTTAAATAAAGCATGAGTTAACAGATTCAAAAGTGCAAACACAAAAAAAAACCAGCATAAAGAGCCCCAACCACCAAACCCAACTGTCTTTAATCATTGCAGTTAACATGCATAACAAACTGCAATCTCATACAGTAGCTGTCACAAAGCAGTGAAGACACTGCAGCTGTTTCCTTACATAGTGCATGTTATCAGCAGCTATTCTTACTTCTGGACTGTGAAAAATGGTATCACTGGGGTGAGTGGTTGCTTGCAAAGGTGGATGACCCTCGCGTGTTAAACTCGATTCTTTTCATCTTACAGATTTTATGAACTCAGTATACTCCCATGTGGCTGATGGAAAATCCTAATGCAATCCATGAAACACCGATCCACCCCATCAAGATTGAAGTGTGGTGTGTACTGCCATAAGAATGCTTGGTCCCTTTTTCTTTGAAAATGCCCTTAACATGGAGTGCTACATTGACATAATCCATGAATTCCTCAGACACTTATTGAGAATTGCCAAAGCATGGTTCCATCAGGACAGCAAAACATCATAAGAGTACAAGCGACTATGTTTGAACTGTCCCCGTTGTTTGGAGATGGAAATATTTCAAATGGCAGTGGCCCCATGCTCACTGGTTTCTATCACCATCAAATTATTTCCAACATATCCAACATCACTGCTGAGATTGTACCCGTAACATGCATCACTGTGCTCAGTTACATATGCAACACACTGGTGCACACTTTCAGAACTTTTGTAACACGACATACTGTTAACATCTTACTTTGAATAAAGTTCTTAATTAAAAAATCACCATACTGCTCATATGAGTTTCACCTAAATTACCCCAACCCTCCAACACATGATGTTATTAACACTGAGTTCCCATTAAAAAAAAAATACACTGTATTATAAACCTCATAATTATGCAATTTTCTCTGGCTTCCTGTTATTTCAGCCCACTTACATCCAAAAACTTTCCTCAGCACCCTGCTCTCTGATACCCTTAGAGTATGTACAGTATGCGCCAAATATACAGTACTGAAATGAAAAGACAAACAATATTACCTTGTTGTCATCTATGAGTTTATTTCTCCTTAAAAAAACTAACATACACACTATTAGCGTGTTGATTTACCATGGTATGCGTAATGTAAATTTGTGAAGTGTGCACCACCTCGCTGTAGATAATGTTCATATCGTTCACGTATTTTCTCAATCATATCCCAGAACAAAGGTTGCTGCAGACTCCTGCAAAAGGAGATGATTTGCTGCTAGCATAATGCAGGCACAGTTCTTGGTGGATCTTCATAGTTGAACACACTCTCCTTTAATATTCCCCACAAGTAGGCATCAGGTGGTGTAAGATCAGGGGAATGGGACAGGTATGGGAAGTCAGCACCACGTGAAATGATTTGTCCTGGAAAGTTTTCCTGCAGCATGGCTAGAGATTCTCGAGTGGTATGGCTGGTCACCCCATCCCGTTGATACCACTCTCTATTCATGTGAGGGCCCCTTGCATGACAGAGCCTTCTCAAATCCTGAAGAAATGGTCTGATCACCATGTCCCTGTAGCATTCTTCAGTGACAGTAAGAGCATTGCCTTCCTCATCCTCAATGAAATAAGGGCCTAATAGACCGTGTGCTGAGACGGCACACCATATCGTCACACATGCACTATGTAGCAGTTTCTGGATGATAACGTCTTATTAAATCTCTCTTGGAATTGTTCTGTCACCTTTTCAAACTTGGTCCCCCTTCACAACCACTTCCATATCAGCAGAAATAACACTCAACTATGAATACTTTTTCCTCCGTTGACAGACCCATTTCCAACAACTGCACATCACAACTTCCTTTTCACTAATGGGAACATGTGCGGCTGGAGCTATACCCCATTGACAAACACACATGCGCGAGTTTCAGTACTGAATTTTTGGTGCATACTGCACTTCCTTTAATGTGATGGTCCATACAAAACAACTAGGCGAAATTTAGTTCTGTATATTGTGGCATATTTGCACAAATCAAGAACTGCTGAGCCACAGAAACAGCCATTGATAGCGAATGGCTCTGAAACAACACTCATTTCTAGGCAACAGCTTGGTAAATACATTCCTGTGGCAACAAATATGCATGCAATAATAGAGGTACTGTCAGAATGGTGTTTTCTACTTGGTCTGTACAGAGGGATTATATGGAAGACAACCAGGGAGGTTGTGAAGAGTGTATAAGCTGAAGAATCTCCATCGTTAAAAGCCATTACCAGAGAACAGATGGTGAAGACACAGCAGGCTGGAAGAGGCTTAGTGGGTGTTGTGGTGATTTGTGAGTTGTGGAGAACAGCGATGGTGATTTGTGAGTTGTGGAGATCAGTGATGGTGATGGAGTTGTGTGTATAAGTGGTCAATAAATCAAATATCAAATCCAAAACCCCATTTACAGTCATACATACACATGACAATATTTTGGCCCTTACATTTCAAGACAGCAGATGGGAAGAGAAGGGAAAGAGAAGATTCTATCAGAACTAGTAAGATATTGGCTGATCTCCCTTTGGTAGGAGACTTCAGAAGGGGCATATGGCAAAAGTGTATGATAAAGAGACTTAAAGTCAACATCCATTGCAACTTCAGTTTATAATGTAAATAGTCAAGTCATGGTTGACAAAACACAAAAACACAGTAATGACTAGAACAAACAAAATCTCAACATGAATTTTACTGTCTTCTGGAATGTAACACTATGTAGTCTGGTAGATCATTACCAACATTTCATGAGAACAAGCTACCACCATCTTCAGGTTACAAGAACAGATGTCTACCCTGACAAAGGGTACAAGAGTATCCTTCTACTCTGATATGCATTTAAGAGTGCTCTGTGGGATACAAGAGTACACTATTACCCTGGTGAAGGTACAAGAGTATGCTCACACCCTGACAAGGTTGAATAAGGCAGCACATTAAAACAAAATGGTGGTAACAATCTACCAGGCTACATAGCAGCACATCTTAGAAAACAATATTCTTTGTAGTCATTGCCATGGAATCCTCAGATCTCACAAGTCTGGTTATCTCAAGGAAAAGGATTTGGAGACACAAAGAAACCAAATGCTGCAATTCAAAGTCATTTATGTTCAAACAATCTCTTGGCATTTTAAACTTCAGAAAGTAAGTATTTTATCATATGCATTCAGAAATTCACTATACCTACTGAAATGTATATATGACAATAAAAGGACTGGTATACAATACACATTTAATATATAAAACCATTATCTATTCAAAAACTGTACATTTTCAATACTGTTCAGTGTCTGTGTATGAAACAAAATATTCCTTTTAACAAAATTAACCAACCCAGCTTAAAAATCAAACTGCATACAAAATACATTACAAAAAAATCACAATACACTATTTCATCTATGCCATTACCTATTTACACTATTAAGCATGTACAGAATACATATAGTATACTATTTATTGCAAAAAATGAACTAGCATATGTATTCAAAAACAATGCTTGTACTTTCATACTTCAGTATTTCTGCTGGGGAGAACCAATACGTCACACATAAAAATTCCCACGCACTTATCACAGACGTATTAATGTATGTGCTGTGTGTGTTCATAAGTGATGTTACCTCTTTTGTACCAACATATTAACAATTTCTTGCCATAAACATGCCATGACATCATTTATGAACACTCACACAATGTAAAAAAATCACCTATACTTAAAATACTACAGCATAAATGTACAATATTTGTGTAAAATGCGAACAATGGTGAGAATAATATAAGAACAACAATCATACGTATACTTGGAGAGCACCACTGCTACTTTGCGAGTTCCTCAATGCAGAAACATACAGAATACTATGAACACAATTCTGTTCAAGCCACCCAACTGAACTTGAAGGCAACAGTGTAACACAATCCAGATGTCTGTATGCAATTCATATGCGCAGTCAGTAGTTGCTTATTAGCACATAACAGGAAGATTGGGTAGAAGAGTACTACTACCTCAGATGTGATGCTGTATAGACGTTTACCAACATTTCAGAGGAATCTTTATGGTATGCATCCTGTTGTATATCATATAATAGCATTAATAGGGCTGTCTACACAACACTAATATTGGCAAACAAAATGAAATCAATACTAACATACCAACATTTGTTCACTGGGCAAAGATGTTTCCCTACAGGTCATCATCAGGCAAATTTACAAGAATTCAATCTTAGTTCTTGAATTGTTCTTTTCATTACGCATCCATATTATTACAATTTATTAATTTTTATAGCACATACATTTTATTAAATATAATCTAACAAATAGACATAACAGGCGGCTGCGGCCACCTGCTCATGCTGGTTCCTCGCTTGTGGATTTTTCTACCCTGAAGATGGAGGCGATACATTCCTCCAAAATGCCAGTTCACATAAGATCTACATGGCACCACATCCCAGAAGATGGCATTCTTCATGATCTCCACCGTGAAAACCTCAAATCTTACATAATATGGATCCATATTAGAAAAAGCAGTTCAAGAATTAAGACTGAATTCTTGTAAATTCGCCTGATGATGACCCCGTGAAGGTCGAAACATGTAACAAGATATCTTTGCCCAAAATAAGAATGCTGATAGGTTAGTATCGATTTGTTGTTGTTTGTGGGTATTATTCTTGTGTAGATCGCTAATTCAGAGGAAAGTAATGGCCTCCATTTTCAATGCTGATGCAAGCAACAAGCAGCAATGAGACTGTACATTCTCCATTTCAGAATTTTCCTGATCGGTTATTACTCACTTTATGTGTATTTCTTATTGGCCTAAGCTCCATACTATTAGTGAGCTGCATAAGCAAGGAAAAACCAGATTAGGACTCCACTGTAGTTGTAACGGTTTACTAAGTATGTTACAGATCTCATCTTTTGCATGCAACTCATTCATTTCTTTCAATATGCACCTGCTGGGTTCCATTCCAGTTGTGTTTGCTGGTTACTGTCTGTTATTTCCTTCCCTGGCATGATCCCAAGCAACAGGAATAAGGAGTGGTTTCTTCCCCAGTCTCACTCCCTCCTATTTCAAAAGAACCAAGCAGATTCTGCTTTCTGATTGCTTGTTTGCCTTACTCTGCGGCCCTGAACAGGGAGGCAATATGTGCCCACAATACATTAGAGAATTTTACCAAACTACATGGCATTGCATCCCAGAAGCCACTGTCCAGACAACTTCAAATCCTGAGTATGTGGTTCAGAGAGGTGAAGGGAAACAGGAATGGTATGCGGCACAAACAGGTGATGGGAAGCAGGAGTGGTATCTGGTTCAAACAGGGGACAGGAAACAAATGCAGCATATGGTTCAAACAAGGGAAACAGGAGCAGTGAGGTTCAAACAGGGGATAGGAAACAGTAGCAGTGTGATTCAAACAGGGGACAAGAAACAGGAGCAGTGTGATTCAAACAGGGAACAGGAAATAGGAGCAGTATGTGGTTCAAACAGGGGACAAGAATCAAAAGCAACATGTGGTTCAAACAGGACAGGAAACTGGAGCAGTGTGGTTCAAACAGGGAACAGGAAATAGGAGCAGTATGTGGTTCAAATAGGGGACAGGAAACAAAAGCAGCATGTGGATCAAACAAGGGATAGGAAACAAAAGCAGCATGTGGTTCAAGAAAACAAAAGCAGTATATGGTTCAAAGAGGGGATAGAAAACAAAAGCAGCATGTGGTTCAAATAGCTGAGAGGAAACAAGAGAAGTGTGGTTCAAACAGGGGATAGAAAACAAAAGCAGTATATGGTTCAAATAGGGGACAGTAAACAAAAGCAGTATATGGTTCAAATAGGGGAGAGGAAACAAGAGAAGTGTGGTTCAAACAGGGGATAGGAAATAGTAGTGAGACTTAAACAGAGGATAGGAAACTGGAGCAGTGTGGTTCAAACAAGGGACAGGAAACAGGAGCAGTATGTAGTTCAAACAGGGGACAGGGAGCAAAAGCACTATATGGTTCAAACAGGGGATAGGAAATTGTAGTGTGATTTAAACATGGAATAGGAAATAGGAGCAGTGTGGTTCAGAGGACAGAAAGCAGGAGCAGTATGTTGTTCAAACAGGGGACAGGGAAGAAAAGCACCATGTGGTTCAAACAGGTGACAGGTAATGGAAGCAGTGTGTGGTTCAAACAGTGGATAGGGAACAAGAGCTGTATGTACTTCAAAGAGGGACAGATCAAACTGTTTATAAGTTAACAGGATTTTGTGCCACTTGCACAACTGGTCATATCAGTCCAACCACTTTCCATATTTTCTTTTGTCACATACTCTACTCATAAAGCAACCTCCTATCATTCAATGCTATACAGTCTGAAATACTGACAGAGGCATTAAATAAATCAGAAATAAAGTTCATTTTAGTAAATACAAAAGAGACCGTATTTTTTCACATGTACCTGCTACAACTCAAAGAATATGCAATAAGGAGTTAATCCAAAGGAACTGATAATTAGTACTCAATAGATTTGAAAAGTTTTAACTGGGAAGTGTTCCCACACTGTGCATCAAAAAGCATGCAGACTAAATGAACCATGCATCCCATAATTTGGACTTGGAAGTGCAAAAGAGTTCACATCTTACGTCCTGGTTATGAGCAAGAATTATGACTACAGTTACATGTACACACATCCAATATAGAGGAAAGATTGCACACATGAAATAGACAGTTAATATGGCATATCATAAATGGCACACATGTACTCTTCTTTGAAATGGAAACATGGAAAAGGAAAACAATCTACCTTACAATAATTTAAAGCTAATTATATGAGGCATGACATTTTTCTTGTCACTTGACTAAGAGTACCATATTGTCCATTCCATGTGTTTAAACATGCAGTATTTTTCATCTCATAAGAAAATGGAGGGAGTTGATATATTTTTCAAGAGAAAATCACTAAAAAGTTGTGGAAGTACAAATGTCACATGTATTCTCAGCAAAAATTAGTCATTTAAACGAGTCACAATAATTTAAATATCAGAGACGAGGTAAATTACTGCAGCTCTTGCCTTCCATGCGAAAGCAATGAGTATTCTTTAAAAGCATCTTCTCTTCAAGACTAGCATGTCATTACTTCTTGCCAAGTTAAAAGAAATGCTACAACCTATGTAATACTTATCATGAGCAAAATGGGCGGTCAAGTCTCTCGCAATGCATCTATTTACATGCACATTAACAGTACTGACAGAAACAACAACAAAAATTTAGACGGATTTATCTTATCAGTTTTTAAAATGAGCATTGCAAATATTTTAAGGGGAGAAAATCTAGTTATATATTTATATCAATAAAATATGAAATACTTTATAAAGTCTGCTACATCTCTCATTGTGACGTATACACGGTATTATTAGAGCTGAGAGGAACTAGGTAGCTTAATGACCATCCTCTGCCTTGAGGCTGGCATTCATTACGTATACAATGACTACGGCATGACACCGCATCTGGCATTTACCAAGCTGAGCACTGTCACTTTGTTCACATCATGTGTCCACATATAGCACAGTGTTCAGTCCACACTGTGTCATTGTGCGTGCTCTGAGTCCGAACTGGCATTCCCCTCTAACTTGGTGATTTGTGACTGCTCCTCCCCCTCTTCCTCAAACTCTTCTTCCTCCTCATCCTCATCCTGACTGCTGCCCTCACTTTCCTCACTTGACAGCACGGTTGAGCTGATGAGTGATGAGTCTATAGAAACAATGACAAAATACGTGAGAAAAAATGAAAACTGAGACCACAATAGAGCACTGGAAAGGGTGTACTCCATAATGTATCACATAAAAGTATGTGGGGCAATCCAAAAGTTTCCGAAATTTGAATTTTCCGCGCGAATGGTTATGAGTACATCGAAATACTGCTAGGTGTCTCCTCACACATCCTTCTTGAATCAGTGTGGCAAGCGGTGTCGAGTTGAGTGGTTGGGTTTATTGTTGATGAATGTATTTCCATTGTTGTGTTTCCGTGAGTTTGCGGTTTTGCGATGGCTGACCTGAGAGAGCAGCGTGTCTGTATAAAGTTTCATTTCAAACTTGGGAAAACCACTGCAGAAAGGCACCAAATGATGAAGCAAGCTTTTGGTGAAAACAGTTTAGGCCAGACACAAACTTACAACTGGTACAAGCGTTTTAAAAATGGCCGAACATTGACTGATGATGACGATCGTTCGGGACGGCCGTCAACAGGCAAAACACCAGAAAATGTCGCGAAAGTTAGGGATCTGATTCTGCAAGATCGTAGACTGACCATCCAAGACCTCTGTAACACCTTGGGACTAAGTTATGATTCCTAAAAACTCTCTTCCATCAGCTCATGTCCTAAACATAGCATCACTGACCAGATGGTCACAACACTTTTCATCGCCCTATTTCACTAATCACATCATTGCTGCAAAATTTCCTACCACTTCTTCTCTGAGCTATCTGGTCCCTGTGCAAGATACCAACCCCTTGTGGAAACTGCAAACATGGTATTCATGCATCTCTACAACCATCATAAGAAATTAGGGTTAACAAAAGCCTGGTAGGTACCAAAGACAAAAACAGTCTCATGAAATATTTCCCTAACAGGCTCCACCACCACTGGGGAATCAAATCTTTGATATTGTACAACTCCATGTCCAACTACTGTCTGGGGTTTTAATATACAGAGGGGCCAGGTCTCAGGAAGATAAGGACAATGTTCAAAAAATGGCCTGAGGTACACTGCTGTAAAAAAACTGCTTAATATTGGAGGGTACCTCAAAAAAAAAAAACTACCATGTCTTTGTCAAAAACTATTTCATGTCTGTTCCACTTATCCACCATCTCCAACAGCTAAGCACCTACATCACTGGACCTGTTAAGAGGGCTAGAAAACTTTTACACCAGCAATTTCGGGAACAAATTTGCAGTTGGACAAAAAAATGTACTGCAGATCTGATCCCCTTCTTACCTGGTTTCTGCAAGAAAAAATCACAACAAAAATCATGTCTTTCTTCTCTCCAGCCACACCACAGCCCAAGAGGAGGGCACGTGGAAGTCATGGTGGTAATTGACAAATAAAATGAAAAATCATCACATCCTACAAAAAGTTTATGGGCGGCTTCGACTCTTCAGACATGATGCTATACACTTATTTGGATGAAAGGTGGACAGTGCATTAATGGAAAAAGGTAGCTTTGAACATCATGGCCAGGATGGTGTTGAATAGCTACAAGGAAAACTACAGGAGGAGTGGTTGGCACTCAAGGACAGATGATCCTCGGGGATCACGAAAATTCAGAAAACTCCCTGAAAAGAAAGAGTACTAATGCATTGTCTGCAGCACAAAGGAGACAAGGTGGAGAGCCAGAACAGCATGCAACAACGGTCCACATGGAGAATGCTTCCCTAAACACAGGTGCTAGCTACAATAGGTACATACACACTGTTTTACATAATGTGATGTAGTTCCGGACCAGAGAGCTCTTCATGCATAAAACTTGTATCAAAATTTACAGAAAAACATTCTCTTTCTTACATGCTTGGTGACATGAAAAGAAGACAAAAAAGACAATTTTATTTTGTGCCTAAATTATGTAAATTTTAAATTTCTATATTTAAGTCTTTCACTTTTTATTTTTTTAAATTATTTATAGCATTAGCTCTTGTAGGCTATATTTATTTAAATCTGCTTTTTATTAGAATAAAAAAGTGTTTTTATTGTGTCTTTGAAGTGAGATTTGTAAATTGAGTAAAATTTGCCTGAGTGTTTTAGGCCAGGTACTTGGAAAATAGACTGAGTGCAAAATGGTTAAAAACTGATACAACAAGGATGAAATACAGAATACTGACCAGTGTGAGTTGCCCCATTTGACTCAGCCGACAGATTCAGCTGTGGCTGCAGAGATGCTATGTTCTCTGGCCAGAAGCGCTGTGCTGCCTGCTTGCTGTTACCACTGCCAGAATTCTTTGCCTTCTTGCTGCTTGAGCTCTTGCCATGCAGAGTATTGCCTGAGCTGGGCTGGTCAGCAGATGTGGGGTTTGAGGCATCCAACATTGGCTGCAGGATGCGCCGACGAGCATTGATGAACCAATTGTTCACCTGCAGCAATGTCAGGTTTGTTTGCGCAGCAATCTGGCGCTTCTCATCTTCTGTGGGATATGGGTGCTGCAACATGACATGCTACTCAATCAGCTGATATCTTTCAGACCTTGGACACATACTGTGGGTCAGGACAATGGAGAAGAAAGCAAAGGAAGAGAAAGAAAAGACCACAAAAGGGGGAAGAAAAAGATGACAATAAGAAATGGAAAGAAAATAAGAAATGGCAGAAGTAGAGGAGACTAAGAGAATGGAAGAGAGGGACAGGAAGAGAAGAATAAGGTGGCAGAAGGAGCACTAGAAAAGAAGATAAAAGGTTCTCACAGCAATGATTATGAAACGTACTGTCTTGCGGGATGTGATACTGTGGTAGTATGTATTGTATAAGTTTACTGATATTTCAGGGGAATGTAATGCCACCATCTTCAGAGTCAAAGAGTAAGCCAAGTAAGGCAGCAAGCAGAAAGCAGTGTCGCTTACTTAGCTAACTCTTCGACCCTGAAGATGGAGCAAGTAAGGTCGTTTGAAACATCAGTAAACTTCTACCAATTATACTATGTTACATCCCACAAGACATTGCTCTTCAAAATAAGAGAATTATTTTATGTCCACCACTTCACAAGAACACCACATCTGACTGCAACCCATCAATACTAATACTGCAATCTAAATCAATGTTCATGTTGTCCATGACATGGCTATATATGTGAAAGCATGAAAAAGGCATATAAGGTGCAAGATTTACCAATAAACATGCTGAACAACTGGGATCACATGTACATGGTGACCTCGCAGAAACATGAAAGCCAAAGGACTTACCACTAAGTGCTGGAAGAGCCATGATCGCATGACACTTGTGGCATGTTTGGGCAGAACACCACGCTTCTGTTTCTTTTTGTTACTGAGGAAATCATCATCATCATCCACTGATCCAGGGGTTGTGGGGGCTGGCGACAGCTGACCTGCAACCAACACAAACCAAAAAACGGTATACACTAGTACCATAGTGCCACTGTGCTGAGCCAGGAAAACAGTGCACTAGTACCCACAATGACGGTTCACTATAATGCTTATTTTCTCAGTGCTGGATATGTACAGCACTAGCCATTAATGCTTTCCATTCATTTGCCAACATATTAATGACACTGCAAATTTTCTTCCACAGTCAACTGTCAGTAAAGAACTTACATGTACTTTCTCCTTGCATCTGTAGTTACGAGGGGGGACCCAAAAATAACTGGAAACGACCTGTTGTGCGCGCATGCTTTGTAGTTACGAGTTGTGCTGCTAGGTGGTGTTAGCTGGGGGTCTCCCGCGACTGTTAGTGAGCTGGCGTCAGTCTGAGTTAAGTGGTTTGTCTGTGGTGCTCTGTTGTGTGCGTTCCTGTTTCAACCCTTTGGCGATTAGTGAGATGGCCGACCAGAAGGAACAAAGAGTGTGCGTGAAATTTTGCTTTCTGTTAGGGAAAACTGCAGCCGAGACTGTTGGGATGCTTCGGCAAGCCTTTAATGATGATGCTTTGGGGAAATCACAGGTCTACGAGTGGTTTTCCCGTTTCAAATCTGGCAACATGTCAACAGAAGACATGCCACGCCCCGGGCGTCCTTCGACAGGAAGAAATGACGAAAACATTGCCAAAATCAAACGTGAAATTGATGAAGATCGTCGAAAGACCATTGACCAACTTTCTGAGGAAACGAACATCTCATGGAGCACGGTCCAGCGAATTTTAACCGAAGGTTTGCACATGAGACGGGTGTCTGCAAAATTTGTTCCTCGCTTGCTCGGAGATGACCAAAGAGAAAACCGCGTGAATGTTTGCCGCGACTTGAAGAGTGAAGTGCAGTTTTCCCTAACAGAAAGCAAAATTTCACGCACACTCTTTGTTCCTTCTGGTCGGCCATCTCACTAATCGCCAAAGGGTTGAAACAGGAACGCACACAACAGAGCACCACAGACAAACCACTTAACTCAGACTGATGTCAGCTCACTAACAGTCGCGGGAGACCCCCAGCTAACACCACCTAGCAGCAGAACTCGTAACTACAAAGCATGCGCGCGCAACAGGTTGTTTCCGGTTATTTTTGGGTCCCCCTTCGTACATGCTGACCAAATACTGCAATAATCATTTGAGTGCATACAGTCAGGCTTTATCAAGCAACTGCTGCAATATGTGAATTAATTACATTTGTAACTTTCTGTAAAGTTTACTGGAGCCAAATGGGTGAAATGTCATAGACCAGAAGATAGTATGACTGCAAAGGGTTAACAAATCTGAAGTGAGTTAGACTGTATCATTCATTGCTATGTAGCACATGGGTGAAGCTATCAGAAATGGTAAAAGGTAAAGTAAAGGTATCCTGTTACAGGCTGTGGAGGCCCACAGGGTTGTGAGACATCAAGGATCCCACATTTTCTAGACAATCGACTAACAGATGGCAATGAGGTTGTCAGCCTACATGCCAGCCGCCCTTTACCACCCAGGAAGATTCCTGGCATTCATTTATGTTAGAGACTGAGTCGACCCCAGGGCCACAGTGCAGCCAGAAGGATTAGGAAAATTGAAAAATCTACCTCATTGGGACTCAAACTCATGACCTTCCGGCTGGTAGCATAGTGCCTCGACCATGTTACCACATGCCCCCTGCTATCAGAAATGTGCCTAACAAAGTGACCATCCTTACTATGGAACACATCACTTTGAGGGAAGAGTGTACAGTGTACAGAAAGTATCTTCACTGTCATATGAGGACCAGGTGCACAGGTCAGAGCCTGCAACATACAGGTTAGCTCAGGCAGTACAATGACTGAGCTGAGCTGGACAGCTAGAGTCAGATTCCTAGCAATGGCAGAGTTCTTTTTCTTCACCTGTGTTCCTAGGCCAGCGCCGGGAACTACCCAGCTTCCTATCCATTGAAAACGGGTCTCTCTCTCTCTCTCCTCCTCCCTTCCCCTCTCTATTTTCCTGTTTCTTCCACTTTGGAGCACAGGGCATCCATGGAAAGCTTTCACTTCGGTTTCTTAATCCTAAGACAGTCGGTAGGACTCCTTGGATGGGAGATCAGCCCATTGCAAGGCCCCTACCTACACAAACACAGAATATATGCAGACATACATCCATGCCTTGAATGGGATTCGAACCCATGATCCCAGTGTTCAAGCAAGCAAAGACAGTTCATGCCTTAGACAGACGATCTTCACCGTAGAGTAAAGTGCCCGAGGCATGAGGGCCACCACTCTCTTTCATCAGCTGCTGAAATTAAGAATCCATGGAGCTATATCACCATGCCCTCATATCTTAATGGTGTTGTCCTCAACAGCAGAGGTATAGCTTTACCTTAGCCTGCTCTCAACATATGTGAGACCAACATTAAGTCCTACATTAAACAACAGGTAAAATTATATTTATGTTAAGATTTTCATGGCCTATATCAAGTATGTAATTCCATCTTCCAGGGTCTAGCCACATTGTGTGTTGAAGCTGCTCCAATGTTCTCGCACACACTGCAGTCACCATGTTCGTGGTGAATAAGCCAGGAGGAGGATGTCTCCTGACATATAGGTCACACGAACGTGACATGCTGTGTTCGCCGTAAACAACAGACATGCAACAATGAATATCTCATCCTCCTACTCTTTCAGCAGTCAAAAAGCACACTACACTTCACTGTTCTTTACCTGCCTCCATTACTGATGTTGGATGACCACACGTAGCAGTAACCTTACTTCCAGCACAATAAACAAACGACTAGTGTGCAAGGGCACGTTGTCACTGTGCTTTCCCAAGTCCCCAACAGATGTTTGTACTGTAAGCAAATTCCAGTGTTACCAACTTGGGCGCCGTGTGAGTTATGCATGGTGACCCGTTTTCATTTGACTGTCCCTTATACAGGGTGGGGCACAGAAACTTCCTTTTTGTGAAGACGCACTGTGAAGGGAGGGGAGGTCGCAGAAAAGTGGGGATAGGCTTGGTGAATGCAGCAGCTGCAGAAGTTTCTGTCTAATACCCTTCAGTAGGAAACATGAGGTGGACAAATGAGCAGCGTACATTTGCTGTCGAATCCTATTTTTCGAACAACCATTCCTACGTGACAGTGTAGCGTGAGTTCCATACTCGCTTCGGAATTAAGCCCAGAGGTCCGGTTACCGACCAGAAATCGATTGTTTTGTGGGCAGAGAATTTTAGGACAACCAGGAGTGTGGTGAAAAAATCATCAGGATGATAACGGGCCGTTACGATGCCAGAAAATGTGGAGGCAGTTCAACAGTCGATTTTGAGATCTCCAAGATGCTCCGTTCGCAAACATGCAGTCACACTAGACATATCCAATCGCTCAATATGCCAAATTCTTCACGAACATCTTCATTTCCATCCTTATAAGATGGCTGTTGTGCAAGAATTATCACCATGTGATTTCCAGAACTGAATAACGGCGTGCGAAATGTTATTGGAAACTTTACCCCTTGATTCACTCGTTTTCTTTAGTGATGAGGCACATTATCACCTATCCGGATATGTCAACAAGCAGAATATGCGCTATTGGAGTGGTAACAATCCCAGAGACCTCCATGAGAGGCCACTTCACAGTGATAAGGTGACAGTATGGTGTGCGTTGTCGAGAGTTGGAGTTATTGGCCCTTATTTTTTTGAAGAAGACAATCATGCAGTTACTGTCAATTCACAGTGGTATGTGGACATGATTAAAAACTTTTTCGAACCAGCTCTTGAAGAAATGCATCCAGGAAATGTCTGGTTCCAACAGGATGGTGCCACGGCCCACACAGCCCGAGCTTCGATGACAGTTTTGAGGGCAAAGTTCCCTGGATGGCTCACCTCGCTTCGATGTGACATCCCGTGGGCAGCGCACTCACCTGATCTAATGCCCTGTGATTTTTTATGGGATACCTCAAGGCAGAGGTTTTTAAACATCGCTCCACAAACCTGCTTCAGTTGAAGAATGTTATTCAGCAGAAGTAGCCCTAATTCCGGTGAAACACTTCATGTGGGGACCTTCTTCCCATGGAAAGAAAACCTTTTCTTCAAAGAGTTTCAGAAATGACATATTACACTCAGGTTTCTGCACTCTGTTCAATATTCCAAACAGAACATAATTCGGAAAATGGACCTGTTTCCTTCCTCAGGTGAAAAGGTGGGGGAGGCAACTACTTGGTTGGGTCAGTCAGAAAGCACTAATCTCTGTGTGTTTGTTCAGTTTGTCCAATATTTTGTCTGCACAAATAATTTGGCTGCTGTTGATAACAGGCAGATGCCTCTATACTTGAGTACATTTACATTTGCCTCACTTTTATGTGCACTGATTATCAGCCCCGGTTTCACAACTTTTGGTGTCCTAACTTTCTGCACACTGTTTAATAAGGTTATTTTACCTACACGTTATATCAAATCTTGTATCAAACTTTGCTGGACTAGGTAATTAGTCCTGAAACACTAACTGAGCTGTCCTTCATCCAGTCTATTACTGTCTGTCCATGAAAAAATGAACACACACATATATACTGTCACATGTTGCCTATGCAGTGCAACAGATAACTTCACGTGGGTCTCAGATTTAGCAAATATTTATTGAACACTCACTTTTACACACTCAAGTACAATTAGTATCGCTTTCACTGCTTCTGAGATTCCACTCACTCTATCCAACAAATTCGGCAAATGCTAGACCTTGACTATGCTTGACAGCGACTACCTTCCAACTCTGTCTACAAACCTTGGCTTCTGTGGCAGCCATATTTCAACTTTACTCACTGACAGCTATCTTCCAACTCTCTTTCACATGGGTCTATCCAGCTCTGGAAAATCTGGTATGTTCAGCCCCCTTATATAGGCATTGTTCAGACTGCTTAGCGAACACCGTCTTCAACAGTTCAGTTTTCCTGCTGCGACACAACAAACCCTCTGTTGTCCATCTCCAGCGAAACTCATTTGTTGTTTCGGAAATCTCTACGCAACAGTCTGTTGGTATTCGATTTGTCACTGTGGGAACTCAAAAGATTTCCATGTATTCATTGTCGTGGAAGTATGTGTTCCCATTCTAGCAGTTGCGCAGCGATGAACATACTGTAACACGCACACGCATGTGCACACACACACACACAACTGTACTGAACACTTGTCGAACATAAACACTTTCATCATCATCATTGTCATTGTCATCACTACCATCCTTCCCTGAAACCCATTACATAGCATGTATTGAGAATGTGGTGTGCCAGTTACATAATAAAACTCCTACATAAACCCAATACAAAGTCAATGTTTTCACTTCTGTTCTTTCATGGGAGTCTTCCTATGTGACAAAGTGGGTTGATGGGTGAAATATTTCACACACACATACTCTGTAACACAATCACATATTCAACAAGCCTCTAATGTAATGGCATCTGCACGAGGGAGGATGATGTGTAGCACTAAAATACGAGGTCTGACAATAAAGTTTGCAAACTAGCCACCATGTGCTTGACATGGCAGCAGTGAACAGAAACCTCAGTACGGTTTGATGATGTTGGCATATCAGCATTTCACAACTGTGTTGTTGCTGATCTATGGCAGTCTCTTTCTGAGAGGCATCTATTATTGTCTGAGTGAGTTTTGGTGTGCCATCACAAGAATGTTGGAATGAACATTAAATTTCCTGTTAAACTTGGCAAGAATGGAAGCGAAATCAGAGAGATGTTAGTGCAAGTTTGCGGGGATAATGCCATGAAGAAAACAGCAGTTTACAAGTGGGTGACACGTTTTTCTGAGGGAAGAGAAAGTGTCACTGACAAAGAGAGATCAGGACGGCCAGGAACGAGCAGAACTGAAGAAAACATTGCAAAAGTTCATCAAATTGTGCAAGAAAATCATCAGCTGACCGTCAGGAGCATAGTAGAGCAAGAGATCGCTGACAGAGAAAGAGTTAGGGAAATTTTAACTGAAGATCTTGACATTTGGAAGGTATGTGCAAAAATGGTCCCAAAAAGGACCTGTTCACATAGCACTGTCTGTGAGGGACTTTTTAGCTAGTAAACAAATAACTGTGCTGGAACACCCTCCCTATTCATCAGATCCAGCCCCCAATGGTTTTTTTCTGTTCCCAAAGATAAAGAAGATATTGAAAGAAAGATATTTCCATGACAACAGGATTAATATGACGGCAGCTCTGAAGGTCTTTCCACAAAACCAGTTCCCAAATGGTTTTGAAGGTGGACTAGGCGCTGGCATCAGTGTATAGCTTCCCAAGGGAAGTACTTTGAAGGTGACCACAGTGATATTCATCAATGATGCATGTAGCACTTCTACTGCAATGAGTTTGCGAACTTTATTGTCAGACCATGTACAGCAGCTGGACACACACGCACTGCAAATTTGTTTTTGAGTAACTATATAAAAACGGTAAATTTTCTTTGAAATCTTTGCTTATTGGTTGAGAATTCCACATGCTCAGATACTGGATAACTGGGAATTTACTGTATTAACTCCATGGAACAGAGTCCTTCCTGAGAAGCTCATAGTTGCTCAAGCAGTCAAGATATTTCCAGCATTTTATGCAATCTGAAGGTTCATTAAAATATCATAAGATACTGCAAATGAACCTTATCCTGAGCCATAAAAAACCCATCCACATCATTTTAATGTTAGTCTCCCTTCCACGCTGAGGTCTTCAAGTGGTTTCTCTCCTTTAGGTTTTCTGACAAAAACTTATTCTCCACCCTGTGTGCCATTCTCCTTCATTTGATCACAAACAATATTTGGCAAGGAGTACAACAATATTTTCCAGCCCTACACCAAATTAGCAGGATTCATCCTTCTGTGGCCTTTGTAAACAAGAACATTCCTCCAGTCTACAGGATATTTTTAACTGTGTACAATATCCTACCAAAGCTCACAGTTTCAACACATTCCTTCCATTTCTTTTGAGGTGTTACACAAAAACTGATTTTAGCAAATTCTTTAACTGTCATTTTATTTTATGGCTGTACAACATATAATCTGCTGTGCACCACAAAGAAGATGTCTGAGACCTAACCAATCTTCCCTCATCAGCCCTCCTGTGGTGCACTCTGTGCTGCTCTGTGATAACAGTCCAGCAAGTCCTGTTACCATGGGTAGGAATGTGTTTATTTCAGTATCTTGCATTTTTCACTAAGAAATCAAATAAAACGTGGCCAGAAGTGAACTAACAATGCTTACAGCAACAGAGTATCACTACTTCATTAATGTATTAGCTGGTATAAACTGTGATATCGATAAGAAAAACAACCATTCCCTGTGCAATGAATGGCATATTGCTAGTAAGATGGAATATGGCTCAGAACTGCTGCTCTTGTTACAATGTACTTATGTTATCAGCATCACAACAAAGAGCAGTATAACCCACTGGTAATGTGTGAATCATCCAGAAGAAATCGTACAGCTGCACTGAGAAGATGAAAATATTTCTGTATAGAGGGCGATATGTCTAGAACTTGCTATGTATGTATCAATGTATGTTACTATATATATTTTTTTGTGGCAAAACAATCACAATCATCATCATCATCATCATCATTATTATTAAAAGAAGAGAATATGTAAGAGCAGAGACAGTCTTATGACTTATATATTTAACCTGTCAGATATGGCAGTCTAGACAAAGCACTGGGAAATGACAAACTTCAGATAAGGGGGCAAAGGGGTTAAGACCAACTGAAACAATGTTATGCTGAATGTATGAATAAGCTGGTGATCAGACTAATATAATGTATCAACTGAGAAGGAATTTTCATACTCTTAACCCCTGCTCTTATATGATACATAAAAATTCAGTTTGTACCTCACAGGTAACACAATATGTCTCCAATACAAAGACCAAAAGGTTAATGCTGTTTATTGTGAGAACCACAAGAAATACACAAATGCACTGTGGAGGCAAAATGCAGAATTTCAGTATGTTAAAGTGGGTGGCTTTAAAGAATTACATGAACACAAAACAATTTTTCAGTTTTCATCTGTAGTTAAGAATATGGCCAACATCTGATCCTCATGTTGCCTGTCACATGAACTGCTGTGAAGTGGTTAGTACTCACTGTGCAAGAGGCTGCTGTCACTGGGCGGAGGACAAGGGTTGGCTCCAATCTGAGAGAGAGGTGTGCTCCCATGCACGATACCTGGAGAGGGTGCCTGCGCAGGGAGATGGACAGGTGCTGCCAACAGCCCCTGGGCAGTCTGCACCATCTGGTATGCAATCTGGCTGCTGGAGGGGGGCACAACTTGAGGTTGTGTTGACATTAGCAGAGCTCCCCCCCCTCCCCCTCCCTGGTGGTGTGAAGGTGGAACACCGCCTGCAGAGGACACCACCTGTCAAACATGTTACGGCACCCGCTAGAACCATCTGGTTCAAACCGTCAAGTAAGTCACGGAGGTAGAACCATCTGGTTCAAACCTACAGCTAGTATCTCTACACATCATCAGCCTTTTCAGTGTAGAGACCGTCCAAGAACTTGTGGCAGATGTCTGTGCAACAGTTTGCTTGAAAAAGGAAGGAGACTTGATTACCCACAGCAGCACATGAAGAGGGAGCAATGTCCTTGCATCTGTTCCTTCTCTCCCTCTTTAGGAAACATGACACAAAAATCTGCTGGGTACCATTTAGTGATATACGTGGTGTGTTCAAAAAGTTCCCAAAATCTGTCTACAAATCAGCAGTGCATCGGTCATGTTAGATGTTGTTTGAGTGACCTTGCAATCTGACTGTTGGCTATGCAAGCCATTTTGTTCCAAGTAAATAAGATGTTTCATCTAGCTTTTACAACTGGTTTTGTGACTGAGTGTGTTGTCTTGTCATGTTGAGTATGGAGTCAGTAAAGGAGCAAAGAATTTGTGTTAAAGGGTATTTTAAAGTATGGAAGACAGATGCAGAAGCCGACATCATGTTGCATGAAGCTTATGGCAAAGATATCTTCAGTCAAATGATGACCTATGAATGGTTTGCACATTTTACAAATGGAAGAATTTCAATGAATGAATGATGATGATGATGATGATGATGATGATGATGATGATGAGTGAACTTCAACTTCAAGATCTCGACCTCTGATTGCCCAGGTGAAAAGCATTACCATGGAAATCGTCGATTGACTGAGAAATTCCAAATTTGTTTGGAATATACATGGGTTCATGTCATATTGTTTTAATAACAGATTTAGGAATGCACTGGTCTCAGCAAAATTTATGCCAAAACTCTTGACTGATGATCAGGAACTGCAACAAATTACCATCTGTGAAAACCTCCCCCAAATGTCATTACCAGTGACAAGACATCAGTTTGCAGTTATGCTGAAACCAAACAACAAGCCACACATTGGAGGAGTCCTGCCTCGCCTCGCCTCGCCTCGCCTCACCCCAAGAAACAGCAACAGGTGCACTCGCAAGTGAAAGATATGATGCTTGTTGTCTTTTTTTGATCATAGAGGCACTGTGCATTAAGAATTCACTCCTGAAAGTCAGACAACTGATCAAGATTTTTATCTGGCTGTTCTCAGACATCTGCAGGATGCAGTATGAAGAAAGTGACCTGAAATGTGGACTGCAGGAAGCTGGTTCCTCCATTATGATAATGCGCCTGCTCACACACCGCTGTCAATTAGAAAATTCTTGGCAAAACATTTAAATCCTATCATTCCACGACCACTCTATTTGCCTAACCTCTCCCCTACCAACTTCTGTTTGCTAAACATAAAATTACCCTTAAAGGAAAAAAATTTCAAATGGTGGAAGACATCATCACAAATGCATCAAATGGCTTGAAGACAATACCATTAATATCCTTGAAGAGTTCTTCCAAAGTGTAAAAGGCAATGGGAGAGGTACATTGCTGCACAAGGGGACTGCTTTGAAGGGGATAATATTCAATATGCTCCAAGCAGAGAAATATATTATTCACAGACAAATTTCTGGAACTTTTTGAACAACCCTAATGTTGAGAAAGAGGGAAGTAACATTGTGACCTACTGCAGAATACAGTAATGAGTAAGTATATATACTCGTACATATAAAATATTTACAGATGAATGGATAAATGTTTTTCAGCTGCATTGCTGTCCCTGACTCAGCATAAATTGTAGTGTGGATCACAACTGACCTGACACCCCTACAGCAATGCTTTTTGAACAAGTTCATTTCCAAATATTGAAACACATTCTGCACATCAGCTGTAGGTTCTTGACATTGCTCCACCCTGAACAGCAAGCATAAAACATATTTCAAATGTTGCAATACTATCCATTATCTAGATTTAAACCCCGTTTCTACTTCTATAACATTCCCCTTGTTCCCTCTGACTTGTGACATCGTCATTCTGGGCAGGAACATATCATGCCACCCTGTGGAACTACGTGTTTTAAATATTTACATAAAGTAAAACACAACCCAAGCATCAATTAAAAAATCTACACTTATGTTCAATGAACTATAGAATATCCACAATAACTGACAGAGAAGTAGCATGGATAATTAAAAATAACAGATAACCCAAATGTTGTGTTTAAAAAGCTATTCCTGCAACAGGCCATGGAGGCCCACAGGGTTGTGAGATGTCGAGGTTCCTACATTTTCTAGATAATCAGCTCACAAATAGTGTTGAAGATGTCATCCTTATGTGTTGGCCGTCCTTTAACATCAAGGATCTTCCTGGTACTACTTTCTGTTAAGAGGCTGAGTTGACTCCAAGGCCATAATGTGCCTGGAAGGATTAGGTCAACTGAAAAATCTAATGACCTAATTGGGATTTGAACCTGCAACCTTCAAGTGTGTACCAACACAAAACAAACCCCTGCCCCAAATGGTTATCTCAAAAACATGGACGATTTTACATTCTTATACTTGGAAAATACTAAGCATGAGTCAGTTTTCTTATATTACTGATAGTAAGCTGCAGATAATGTTTTCATGATGGGTAATGCAAATGTTTCAGTGTTCTGTCTCTTTCAGTTCAAGGTGAAGGAAGTGTGTTGAATTTCAGCTGTAACTCATGCAGCAAACATTGCAGACTAAGTAGGCGATATCTGGCTTCATGCAAGTGGCAGCATACCAGTTCTCCCAAACCCAAGAGAGCGCAGAGGAGCCGTTCGGCAGAAAAAGTGATGGCAACGTTCTTCTGGGACTGGCTGGGGGTTATTCATGTAAACTTTCTAACAGATGCCAGAACAGTCAGTCAATGCAGCTTATTACTCAGACCTCCTGGCAACAGATGTGAAGGAAATGATCCGATCCAAGCAGAAGACAGGTGGAAAGCGGGTAGCCTTCCTTCAAGACAATGCATGAGCCCATACAGCCAAAACAACAATGGAAACCCCTCCAGAAATTGAAATGGAACCTTCTGACACATCCGCCGTACAGTACCGATTTGGCCCCAAGTGATTTCTACCTGTTCAGAAGGCTCAAATCGGACTTGCAAGGCATGCGGTTTGTGGACAACAACGCCGTCATCCAGACTGTTTAGGAGTGGATACGCTGCCAACCACAAGCCTTTTTTGAAAAGGGTATCAGGATGCTTCCAGAACGTTGGAAAAAATGTGTTGACTCTGGAGGGGAGTACGTTGAAGACTTACATGTGCAAGTAAGTGTTTGGCAATTATGGTTTTTAAAAAAAAAATCAGTCCCGGTCATATTTGAACCACCTTGTATATATATGTATAGAATGTCTCCCAGTGAAATTCTGTGTTTCTTGTTTCACAACTAAAGTACTGTAACCTGTTGAGCTAGCTCTCCTATGAGTGAAGTACAAATCATGAGCATTATGTCCACATTAGTGGAATGCCAATTCAAATTTCAATGGGAAAATGTTACAATTCCCACGTCTAGCTATGGTTTCCTCAGAAAACATTTCAACCAATCCCCTCTTATATATTACAGCCCTTGAGGGCCACTTGTACATCATGAGCCCATGGGACAGTTCAGTCAGTATAGCGACTAAGCTATTGGGCTGAATGACCAATGAGTTGGGGTTTGATTCCTGGTAGGGGCAAGAGTTTTTGTCTTCTCCACAACATCCAGACCAACTCTGGGGCCCACCCAGCCTCCTATACAAGGGGTACCATGGGCTGTTTCCCTGGAGGTAAAGCAGAAGGGATGCAAAGCTAACCACTCATTTCCATCTAGTTCCGAGATTAAGAATATTGGAGCTATACTTCCATTCCCCCATATACCTTCATGGCATGGCGCTTTAAGTAATTCAGCCCAGGGATAACTTTACCTTTACTGGATATACACTCTACAAACATTCTGGAAAGACAGCTTGACACAAGAAGAATAAGCAATGCAACAGCAGCAAGAGTAGTAGTCTGAAGGAACATTTTCCAGTGAAGGTCACCCCTGCAACACCAACTGAAATGCTGACATTTATTGTTGCCATCTTCTGTCCCACTCTAACTTCTAGTTCTAGTTTTGCACTTGGTTTTCATGGAGACAAAAAATAACAAATGAACACATTGTAACATGCAGACCCATTGCCACGTTAAAAGCGGTATTAACAGGTGACAGGGAACAGCTATGTGGACACCTTGTTAGCCCAGCAATGAGAGAATACACAATAATGGAAGAGATGTTTTCTGTGCGATCCATGTCAGTGTAATATGGAAAGGACTAGTAGTTCAGTTGAGACAGTTTATAGAGTTACAGCTGTGAGAAGCAAGAAGTGAGAAGAGGTAGCTGAGGCCAGGGACCATTTCAGAACCCAGAGGAAGGGGAACATCAGCCATTGGAAGCCACTATGAAGCAATGGCTAGTGAAGACTGAGAAGACTCTATGTGTGCCTTAGTTACAGCAATCGTTGGAGTGTGTAACTGAGTGAGACTGTTGTAGTTATTTGTAGTTACAAATGTTAAGTGTCCTATAACTCTGATTACAAATCAGAACCTATCTATAGTCACACTCAAAACATGTGACAATAAATTAACAATTTAGCAAGCTGCCACTTTCCAGAAGCCTGGTTTTGCATTTCTTTTCAATTGAAACAACATAATGACTAGCAAATATTATAACACTGCCCTGATTATATTAAATCACATAAACATGGTATTATTTGGGAATCTGACCAGCTAACCTGCAGTGGGTGGGGTGAAGTGGCATAGTTAGTGTTCCCAGCTGGACTGTTGCTGTTACTTGAGTGGCTGTTACTGCTGCTGTTGTTGTTGTTATTGTTATTGTTGTTGTTTTCATAGTTTGCATAGTCAGAACGAAGCAGGTTCTCACTCTGCATCTTGCCCTTGAGACAGGTGATGTAACGGTTGCAAAAATCTTTGCATAGCTCCTGTACCTTCTCCAGTTCCAGCAAGTGGATCCGCAAAACCTGAATTGCTTTTATCATCTGCAACACAAGCAGTTGCACTTATAGCATCTATATGGGTGATCACCCTTAGATGAAATCTGCTTCACAAAATCCTGAAATGAATATTTCATTACCTCATTACAATTTTAATTTTGTGAAGACTCCTACATTGGTAAATATTTAACAACATAAACATGCAGATGGAGAAGGAAACAAAGAAACACTATGAATACTGCAACTCCTGCTGTAACAGCCTCAGGAAACTTCGTAAGGCCATTCAACGGAAGCGACCAGGACTCCTCACCAAAGGCGTGTTGCTCTTACATGGCAACGCACGTCCCCATACAGCCAACAAGAGAAATGAGACGCTGCGAAATTTCAAGTGGGAAGTCCTCGAGCATCCTCCATATAAACCTGACCTTGCTCCAAGCGACTTCCATTTGTTCAGTCCTCTTATACATCATCTTTCGGCCCTCTTAAACATCATCTTTCGGCTGAACATTTTCCCGACAATGAAGCTGTAGAAAGGGAAGTCACCACATGGTTCTAACAGCAGCCCAAAAAATGTTATGCTGCTGGTTTTCAGGGGCTTGTGAAACGATGGGACAAGTGCCTCAATTTACAGGGAGATTATGTTGAGAAATAAAAGCATTTTTCAAAACAGTACTCTTATTTGTTTAAGTTCTATATCCATTTGTAACTTACTTATTGACTTACCCTCACACTTAATGCATGTAGCTTATGCTAGGAAGGTGCCTAGTATAAATATTGTAGCATGTAGAGCCATTACTATGTGACCACCATGATAGGGACGGGCAGATATAACAGACCCATTTCTGGGCAATGGCTCAGTAAACACATTCCCAGACCAATGAATCGAGAATCGACACACGATAATGGAGGCATGACGTTACAAGCAAGGGACATGGTTAGATCTTAGTCAGCAGTCAGTTCTGTAAGGAGGTCTGTGAAGAGCTGACTTGAGCATGGAGGCAGAAGAATAGTCACTGTTGGTGCTGCTACCACAAAACGTCTAGTAACAGACTGAAAACACTAGACTGTGTCCTCTAGTAAACTGTATAGTGTGGAAATAGTGACAGTGTTACATTCATCTGTAGTTACAACCTGTATGTTGTCAATAAATCTATTCACCAATCGAAACCCCACCTATAATAACACACATATGTATATGTGACAATATTATCTGTAACACTGGCCATTCTGATTCACAACTTTCTCAGATTCCTCAGGATAATATTGAATAGTCCTTTGAAGCAGACTATGAGTAACTTCTCCCCCAGTTTTTCCACCCACTTACCAACCCATCCACTTCTGGGTCGTTCACAAGGAAGGGTTTCCTGTCCCGTTCTTGATGCTGCACAAATGCTTGGATATCCATGTTAAAGCTCTCGGAGTTTGGACACTCCGCAGACTGTGTTGCCTGCTCACATCTTTCGAACAACAATGCCAGCAACGGGAACAGCGGATGTCTGCATAAAACAACAAAGACAGTTCTAAGTCTGGATTGATAAAAGCATAGTTTCCAAAGTCACATTTTAGAGATATATATTTCAACAACAGAACATCTTCATACCCATTTACAATATATACACATGTAACCAACAGAAAGGTGTACTAACAGTGCATGCATGTGTGTTACGAACTTTGCATGATCACGATTTTTTAAAAGTCTGCTCAAATGGACCCATTTCTGCATCACCTTATCATGTATACATACCCCTGCATATAATGTAACAGATGCTTTCCAGTCCCTTCCTGCATGAATTAAGTTCAGAGGCACCATTACAAATTCAAAATTAAGGAATTACACTTCTAACTTGAGAGTTAAACTATGCTAGTACCAAGACAGAGTAACAAAGACAGTTGGAAGTTCCCAAGTTTTCACAGCTGTGACTGCTCAGATTGTGGTCTCCTGGATTGTGACATTATACAGTACTGTAAGTGGATACCAGTGTTTCAGAGGAACTTGATGCTTCCATCTTCTGGGCTGAAGTGACTGACAAGTGAGGTGACAAGGAATGTGGTTACTCAAAACTGACAGGGGAGGAGGTTTAAAGTCACTGTTTGTGCCAAAAGAAATGGTGCAGTAGAACTGTCAAGAAACTGCCCTTTCACAGCAGCAGCAAGGTGACAAGGATAGCAGTCATTTGGAACTATGGGAGGGGAAACAAGGTTCAGCACTGTCCAGGAGAATGAGAACAGTGAGCTGGTAGTGTCAGAAACAGTCCTGTCATATAGGGAGGACAAGACTGCATTGTCCTAGGAGGAACATTCTTCCATTCCTTCAAGGAAGGCACTCATTTAAAGCTTCAAGGGCAGGAAAATGTGACCCCCCCCCCTTCCTAGCACAAGAGACTCTCAATCTCATGCTATGAAAGGCAAGTTCTCATAATTTCATCTCACTGTTCCCACTGGCCTGAACTGGGGTTAATCACCTTTCCAAATCCCACTGTAATAAGTGACTATCATTGATATTACCTTGCCATTACCACAAAAGGGCAGTTTCTCAAAAACCCATTGCTCATTCTTATGGGCTTGTAAAGGGCCTCCCCCCCCCCCCAGTTCTGAGTAATCATATTTCCAGTCACCCTGCTGCCTACGAAACCTGGCTGCACCCTCACTCAATCACTTTTACCCTGAAGATGGTGGAACCATGCTCCTCCATAATGTTATCCTCCTCAAATACTACAGAGGCACAACCTATAAAACCATAAGCTGAACAAATGCAACACCATAAATGTCTGAATGATGCTACAAACATATTACTGGAACAGAACGTTTAATATTTCATTGCTTATATTATGACCATCGACATAACAAGTAATATGGGAATACTTTCAATAAAGACAGAACAGCAACATGTCTAACAAAGAAGTGAAATGGATACATGGACACAGGACCACTAAAGGTAAAAGTGAATGTTTCAAGCAATGTCCAATCTTACTTATACACAGATCTCTTGTCAGCCTCAAACTGTGCCTGGTCTGGAGGGCCAAACCCTGTGCCCTGGTCATTTGATCCGGTAGTCATTGCCACTCCACCTCCAGCTTCTGTCTGCTCATAACCTGGGGTCACCATGGTGCTGCCCTCTTGCATGTCCCACCAACAATCAGGCTCCCATCTGTTGACATAAAAGTCAGCAAGCATAAAAAATGCAAAACAACTGTGATTAGAAAAATCAAAAAGTATAAGCAAAATATTGAACAATCAGTCCTCTTAAATGAATGCAGAATAACCACGATTAGATGAATAATTGTGTCCAATAAAATATTAGAACATCATATGCTTAAACCAAACGTGTAACAATCTGTATACATAAACGTTCAGTAACTACGAACAGTACTCTCACATTTTTTAGGGGTGTGAGTATAGACAGGGTTTGGATTGGATATTCTGTTTACTGACCACTTTAACATATAACATGCAACTACAATTAATTGCAACACTATCACTAAACTCCACACTTTACAAATCATTAGGACACACTAATTTTCATATCAATATTATACAGTTTCTTAAGATTCTTTATTATATTAATATTTTCTGTGAGAGGGATATTGATGTGGAGATATTTTATGTTTCATTTTTAATTTTGTGATGTCTTCTGCAAGTTCTATTAGATTTCTAACATTACACTCATTCCTCAGTTGTGTAAGTTCTTTATCTTTTTAGTGAGGAATTTTTCTATCTTATATGACAGTTCTACTATGTTTTAATTACTGGTCTAAAGCAATGGTTCTCAACCTCTGTGAAACCGTGGCCCAGGAAATTCTTTTTTCTATTAGATGAGAGCCCGGTATACCTGATGCCAGGGCATGGTAATAGGTGGAGGCCCGGTGGTCCCAATAGCCTGCAAAATCTGATTTTGGCTTTTAAGTTTGGTGCCTCTGGGCTCATTTGTAGAATCTATTTTTTTTTGTAAAGTTTTTGGTTTATTAGAAGAATTATATTTTGTTCTTAAACCGTTTCTGAATTATTTGTGCTGGACCATGTTGAATGTGTTTATGTGGGTATCAGTAATGAACTATTTCATTTTCCTGTTTAGGTCGTTATTGTCTAATATTACAATTGTTCTCCCTTTATCCACTTCTATTGTTGTTAGTTTGTTTTGAGTGATCTTATGTTTAATTTATTTAAGTATTCTCTGTTGCTGTTACTGAAGACTTTGTGGTATGTCATATTTACAAATTATTTTTTTTATGCTTTTGGCTGTTATACTTGTACAGTAAAACTTGGTTATAGCAACATCGGTTTCTGCGACACCTTGTCTATTGCGTCAAATATTCAATGGTATGAACTAATTCCTCATAAGGCAACTGTTTTTATACCTTGCTTAGTACGACATGCACAAATGCATCAACCTCATATGTAACGTCATTTTCATTCCTGAATTTCTCTGATATGGACACTGAACGTAATTTAGAAAGTGTGTACTGTATTGGGCAAGTAACAGGAAACAGATGAAGATAACTGATTACTGTACTCGTATCTAGGTACAGTAAGGCACAACAATTGATGTAATCTACTGTAATTTGGTGAGTAGGCCTACCTTTAATATACAGTATTAGTGCGGTGTGTATTGTCAGTGAAAAGCGCTGTAATATGTCTTTAATATTACACATTTGGGCAATTCCACGTTAATGTTACGTTAGTCTGTACTTAACTACGTATTTCACTAAAAAATGCAACATTTTAACTTGGTTTCTGGTAGATTTTTACGTGACTAACATAAGGCTACTGTGGAAGTGCCCATTTCGGTTACAACGACATTCGTTTATAACGACACTATTTTTAGGTCCCTTTCATGACGTTATAACCAAGTTCTACTGTATATCTAATTGCATCTTGCTAATTCATGTCTATTGTCTTATTGCATTCTTAACTTCCTATATTAAATTCCTGACACTGTTACATCAGTGGAGTCTTCCAACATTTCTGTTGTCATATGTCAAGGATGGCTTCAAAAAAAATAAAATAAAAGGCTTGAGGTTTGCTATGATTTTATATCCAAGTGTCCAGACATTTTGGGCAACCACATTTAGCTGATTTCTCTACATAAAAGTGACCTGAATCTCCTAGCAAACTGGCTTTCTTTTTAACTTGGAAAGCTGTGTCATCATTAAGGACCATCTCAAAAATATCACAGCTTAGTTCCCATTGTACCCGATTTTGGGGTTGGAGGAGTAGCAACACCACTGAATGCATGGTCATGAAAAATTAGTAAAATATAAAAATCTGTTATTTTCATTTATTTAAATGGAAGCCTATCTTGATATGTAAGCAGGATGTTCCTACAAAATTTCGGTGAACTTCTGCTTTATTTCCTTGCGTCATATCGCTGAACATGGTACTCTTCAAAAACCAAGAGATGATCAAAACTGTTCCTTCCTATTCTATTTCGTGACAATAAACAATTATGTTATGGATGTAAATAAAAAAAATTAAAAGAAATTAACCACTTAACAATGTATTCTGAATTTTGTATTCAGCAAAACATACTTAAACGTCATTTAAAAATCATCCTCTATACCTGACAGGTCCTGTGAGACCTAGGAGAAAGGACAAGACAGATTCAGTAATGCGTGACTGGTTGATTGTTTTACCGAATACTTTCATTCCTTCAAGTGCAGAAGTTACATAAGGTTCAGTAAGAAGGGGACTACTGAAGTTAACCATCCTTGCATTTGTTTCCGACCGGTACTGGAAACGGATGTACCTATACATATTGAGGGATACATCAACCTGTTAGTTGAGATCCGGAAAATGTTTCAAACAGGTACGCCCTTTCAACTAGCCGCAGCTAGAGGATACGCACCAATGTCCATGGGGGGCAAGCGGTAGCGTAGTTGGTTGAAGCACTATACTACAGGCCGGAAAGTCGCGGGTTCGATTTCCGATCAGGTAACTGGAATTTTTCAATTTACTTAATCCTACCTGACGCAACGTGGCCCCGGGGTCGACTCAGCCTCTAACAAAAATGAGTATCTTCCTGGGGGTAAAGGGCGGCCGGCGGGTAAGGCTGACAATCTCACCGTCATTTGCGAGCCGACTGTCTAGAAAATGTGGGAGCCTCGACGTCCTACAACCCTATGGGCCTTCACTTTCCTTTACCTTACCTTTTACCAATGTTTATGACTTGGAAAGATGTCAGGCTAAACAATATCCATGAAGTTGCACAGACCTGATGTCATGTTGCTTTTCAAACGCGCTTCGCTCTGGGCCGCCCGCTTCTGTCATTATGCATCTGCTTTTTGTCTTTGTCTCCTGATCGATAGAACTAAACTCATTGAACAAACTCAGGCAAATATCTTCGCATCCAACTCACGAGATGTCGCCCGTCTTGTTGTTATGGAAGGTATTTGACTGCAGGGCCCTTTTTGTATCATATCGATGACTGTGTGACCATTCCGCAACGATTCAATGAGGCGACACGATTCCTTTGATTCTCCTGATAATCTCACGAAGAATATCTCATTCGTTTTAATGAAGGAACCGGCAGATAACCAATTGCACGAAAAGAGCATAGCCTTTAGAAAAGAAACAGATTCTGAGAAAAATATTGGTTATAAGTCGCTTACTGCCCTACAGGAACTTACTAAATGTCCAAAGGAAAATGTCAGCAACATTTCATAAGGCCTGGGAGAAAAGTTGACGAGCTCAATGGAATATTAAATATTCACATACAATTGAGAATATACATTCCGCAACAGGAGTACTATCCTCTGGGATGTGACGCCGTGTGGTCTGATACAAATTTACCGAGGTTAGGGAGGAACGTATTGCATTCATCTTCAGGGTCGAAGAGTAAGTCGAGCGATCGCGCGCAAGGCAACATGACATAAGCAGCGTAAAATAAAGTACTCTGCTGACTGTTCGACTTACTCTTCGACACTGACGATGGAGGCACTAAGTTCCTCCGAAACGTCTGTATACTTCTATCAGACTACACGATGTTACATCTCAGAATACAGCAGTTTTTATGCTCACTGTCGTGAGAACATCAAATCTCATATATTTCATGTGTTCGAATTAGAAAAAAGAAACTGTTACGTCATTTCAACAGGATTCATATTCGTATCACTCACTCAAACTCACTCGTGGAGCTGAGCCCCGCTTGTGAAGCCACCAGTATAGTTTTAAAAAATCCCCCATCTACTGGACCCACTGAACATATTTTAATATCGTGCAAAAACTGGAACTGCCGATCACAGTGGCCGGGCGGTCTGGGGCAAGAAATGTCTTAGTCCACTCGAACACTGAGATCGTGGGATCGAATCCACACTCAAAGCATGTGATGTTTGCGTTTATTATGTTCGTGTTGTCCTGTGTAGGTAGCGGCCTTAAGATGGGCTGATCCCCCGTCCAAGGAGTCCTGCCGACTGTCTGAAGTGAGATGAAGCGTTTCACGGATGCCCTATTCTCCAAGTGCGAGCAACCTTTGTTCGTTTGGGTACATTATTACAATTATCTTCTTCTACCTGCTTCCTTTTTCTGTACTCTCTCGTATATGCAGCACAATTATTACCAGCGGACATCTTATCAGTGCGTGACGTCATACGCTGTCAGCTTGCCTATAATAATGCGTCATACACTAAACAGAGCAGTTCAATTGGTGTTATTTGTTACAAACAAATGGTCATAACCCCTAAACCGTAAGCGATGGACCAAAACGGATTACATTTTTTAGAAGCTCGCGTTTATTAACTTATTTCACTCTCAATATGTCCTGATCCATGTCTAACGGTTTCGCCGTGGCAGGCGGTTAAAAGTCTGTAAAATTAGGAAAATTCTTATATGTTTTGGGTAATCGTTTAAATAATGTCGCTCGCTGGCATCATCAACTAAACTACAGAGCAATGAGACCAACTCTATAACTTGCAATAAGTTCAGAGTTGTTTTGCAATAACCTAACTTCTGGAACCACTGTAACTTCTGTAGCATCAGCAACACTGTACTTTCATATCATGTGGTTTGATGTCTGACAACATGGGGGTCTCGAGGAAATAATATAAACGGAAAGTAAGTCATACGAAACGCTCCTAACCCTACAGACGCTCCCGCTATTCCCCCGTTCATGTTTTGCAACGCGGGGGTGATTTCATCCCTTAAACCTGCGCTTGG